AACTATCGTAATATCTTATGAAGTATGAGGAATGTCAATAAAGTATTTCTTTCTTTTAATTTATGATGTTAGTTTTTACTTTATATTTATTCATTTACAAAATCAGTTACTAAGTAATTTATATCTTGATCTAGATAGTCACTTTGAAATTGTAAATGTTGGTTTAAGTTCTGTTTCTCATCTGAATACACTTCAACAGGTCAGTGCATACATACTTGGAGAGTTTGGCCACCTTCTAGCTAGACGACCTGGGTGCAGTCCAAAGGAAATATTTAACATTATACATGAGAAGCTCCCTACTGTATCGTAAGGGGAATCACACCCTACCTCTCATTTATTCATTGTTGGAATCCAATTATCCTAGATACCATATCAGACTTCCTTTGTTTTCAGGACTTCTACTATTTCTATTCTTTTGTCAACATATGCTAAAATTCTGATGCACAGTCAACCACCAGATCCTGAATTACAGAATCAGATATGGACAATATTTAAGAAGTGAGATTTACCTCTGCAATGTTCAATTTTATTTTATTTCTATTATGTATTGTTTCTATGGCATGGCATAGGTTGTTAACCTATTTGCTCATATTTTTAGATATGAAAGCTCAATTGAAGTTGAAATACAGCAAAGAGCTGTTGAATATTTTGCATTGAGTAGAAAAGGTGCAGCCCTAATGAATATATTGGCTGAAATGCCTAAATTCCCTGAACGACAGGTATTTTTTGCAATATTGGTTTACAGACTTGTTTGAAGTTGGTTTGATCACTTGTGTAATCAATAGCACATGGATTCATACTCTTTTTTCAAATTTAGTCTGCATTGATTAAAAAAGCTGAAGATACTGAAGTTGATACTGCGGAACAAAGTGCCATAAAGTTGCGAGCTCAGCAGCAATCTCAAACATCAAATGCTTTGGTTGTAACAGACCAAAGTCATACTAATGGAACCCCACCTGTTGGCCAACTTAGTCCTGTAAAGATGCCCAGCATGAGCAGTAATGTGGTCAGTTGCTCCCTTCACTTAACATGTTTTTTACAGTATCTACAATGTGATCCCTTTCAACTGTAAAATGGCTCCTCCTATTACTTCTTAGTTTGACACCTACTTTTCTTAACAGGATGATAATTCAGAAGATGAAAGAGTACCCCAGGAAAATGGAACTTTTAGTAAAGTAGATTCTCAGCCTCCCCCGGCAGATCTCCTTGGTGATCTCTTGGGTTCATTGGCTATTGAAGGCCCTCCCAGTACCAGTGTCCACCCTCAGCCAAGCTCAAATTTGGAATTGGAAGGAACTGTAGTTGATGCCACAGCCATTGTACCTGCAGGAGAACAGGCCAATTCTGTGGAGGTACTTGTGTTGAAGTCTTTTGCTTAACCTGATATTCTAACCAAACAAATTTTATTTTTTAAGATTATCTTATATACATCTTATGTTTTCCTTCAGACATAGTTATGATTGATTTGATGGGGAACCACATTGTGCCCCAAGACTTTCTTCAATGAAATACAAATTTATGATAGATAACATAACTCGTCACTATTTTACTAGACTCCATTCTCCATTGTTCAATATTAGAAGGATATTGCTACAAAATAATTTGTGGGCAATGGAATTCTAACTTGTGCCTTTTGTTTGTGCAGCCAATTGGAAATATTGCTGAAAGATTTCATGCTTTGTGTTTGAAGGATAGTGGTGTCCTATATGAGGATCCTTATATTCAGGTATTTTTGTCAATTTTATTCAAATGTTCAGTAGTGTTTGTTTTAATTTGGTCATGTATATTTACAGTTTAAACTTGTGTTCTTAGTATTTTTTTTTTATTTTATATATTTGTACAGATTGGCATTAAAGCAGAATGGAGAGCTCATCATGGGCATCTTGTTCTTTTCTTGGGAAACAAGAATACTTCTCCTCTTGTCTCTGTTCAAGCTTTAATATTGCCTCCCACACATTTGAAAATGGAACTCTCTCTAGTACCAGAAACTATACCTCCCCGAGCACAAGTGAGAATACATTGTTATGGCATATGGTCCATTCAACCCAAAAAAACTAGTTAATCTCAAAACTAGTGAGAACCAATCCAAATCTGATGAAAATCGGTTAAATTTTAATTTTTCAAAAAAAATCATTATTTTGTCAAATTTTTTTTTTTTTAAATTTGAACTAATTAAAAGTCCAATGACAAGTTATAAAGATCCATATACATGGATTGTTATCATTTATCCTTTTTAGTATTGATTTTTTTATCGTACATACTATATATGGTCATTTCATATTAATTTAAATTTAATGTCTTAATATAATATACAATATTAAAAAATTATAATTAGTTATCCACGATTGAATTGTGAAACAGCATCTTTACCAGTCCAGTTCTTAAAACATGGGTTGTTTGTTGCTTTCAAATATTGTTAACTTTCTTTCCAATTCCCTTCTTTTGATTTCATAGGTGCAATGCCCACTTGAGATCATTAATCTCCATCCAAGCAGGGATGTCGCTGTTCTTGACTTCTACTACAAGTTTGGTAACAATATGGTACTTTAATTTAAACTTATTTTTAACATTTCTTCTTTGAAAAATCCATTCTTTCCCCTATGGCTGAACTCCATATAGTGTTGATTGAGCATGTTCTTCCAAGGCTAGTCAAAAGAAAATGCAGGTTGGCCACTTTATGTTGCATTTAGTTGCATAAACACAAATTACCAAAGGAAACAACTAAAAATAAGAGTTTTAAATTTAATGTTAAATTTTTTGGATAATATGTTCTTGGATCATGGATTTGAAGAAAAGAAAGAAAAGGAGCCAAAGGCTCTTAAAATTTTGCCAAACTCTACTAAAATATATCTCAACAAGACAAGCATAGCATTTGGAGTCTGGATCATGCCTAGTTTTCTTTAAAATTTATTTGGTCGGGACATACTTGACCAAAGTTTTGATTTAGTTCAAATTTTAATTGTTAGAAAATTTGTTCTATTAGTTTCTCATTATTAAAGAAAGAGAAAACCCTCAATTTGGTGAAGTGACATGCATCATAAAATTTAGTTTTCAAATTGGTCCTTCAGAGATTCTTATGTCACCAATTTAGTCCCTTAGAAATTCTTTTTATCATTTTTCAACCCTCCAGAATGATGATTTAGATGGCATGTTACGTGGTGATTGGTGACAATTTAAATTATGAACTAATTTGGTGACAAGTATTTTGAAAGACTAATATGATAACACGTGTACCTTTGGAGAACTGAATTGAAGGTTCTTTCTTAAAGAAATTGAAATATTGCATACAGATCATAATAATAAGAGCTTCAATTTCAGAGGTAAAGTTTGGTAAAATTTGATTTTGGGTTTGTTGCTCTTTGACATCCAGCTATCATAAACCTATAATTAAGGTATGTTTTACTGTGTTGCCTTGTAGGTCAATGTCAAACTTCGCCTACCAGCCGTCCTAAATAAATTTCTTCAGCCTATAACTATATCTGCTGAAGAGTTTTTCCCTCAGTGGAGATCACTTCCCGGACCACCTTTGAAGCTTCAAGAAGTGGTATGTATTCTACATTATGTGCATGGTGAAGTTTGGATATTTGCTTATGGTTATTCTGTGGCAATAATTGCTTTGCTAGCTTGTTATTCTGGTCATGTAGTCATAAATTCATCTTTCCTGTTGGTTTTTCAGGTTAGAGGCGTTAGACCACTTCCACTGATTGAAATGGCCAACTTATTCAATAGTTACCATTTGACAGTTTGCCCAGGCCTTGTATGATATCGAAGTCCTCTTTTTACTTTTTTTGTTTTTTTCCCCGACAATTAACATCTAATTTATATATAACTTGTTTCTGCTATCTATCTGCTCTAGGATCCCAATCCAAACAACCTTGTTGCGAGTACAACATTTTATTCAGAAAGTACAAGAGCAATGCTCTGTTTAGTAAGTATATACGTCAAACTACATATCTAGCATTGCAATTGGTGGTCCCGTATAGTCATGATTTATTAAATAATTTGGACAGAGGTGGTTGTTTTAACATTTTTTGTGAATTATGTGCAGATAAGAATTGAAACAGACCCGGCAGACAGAACCCAGATGCGAATGACAGTTGCTTCAGGGGACCCAACACTAACATTTGAGTATGTGATCTACTTTTCCATTTACAGGAAGCCATCAATGGATTCTAGAGGTTTTTACAGATCATTCTGATATTGGTTTGCAGGGTGAAGGAGTTCATCAAGGACCAATTAGTCAGCATCCCCACAGCAACCCGTATACCAATACAAGCAGCTACAACACCACCAGTGGCGCAACCAGCAGGTACTCCCACAGCATTGACGGATCCTGGGGCAATGCTGGCTGCTCTTTTATGACAATATTATAAAGGTGTTCATTAGTCATTACACACTTGTAAGCCTGATCTACGCAGCCTAACCCATGTTTCCCTCAAAAGCTAGTGAGGTGGATAAATTAAATCATGATGCAAGGGCTGGCGGAGTTAAGGGTGAGCTTTTTACCAGCTGAGTGTTTGAGCAGGGATTTCTGGGTTGGTAGGCATTTTTGAGATTCTTTCTGCACAAAGCGATTGTCCTTTAAGCGAGATTTTATCATTTGGGCGAGGGTTTTCAGTTTTCTCATATTTTTCACCTTCCCCAGTTTCACTGGTTTGTTTGTGGTGGACCTGATAATAGCATGTAAGATATTGCCTTCGATAGAACCAATTGTAAGTTTGAAATTGTTGTTCTGAAATTATAGTTACAATAACAGCTTGTGGAGTAACGAGTATACGTATTTTTGCTATCCAATGCTTTAGGGTTCAAAGGGATATTTATAGCTGTTTCTTAAAATTGTAGTATTGTTTTTAAATTTCTTAAATTGCATACAAAATTATTTAAAGTCAAATTTAGTAAAATCAAAGTATTTAATAAAAAGAATGAAAATTGAGATTTTATGATTATTACGAAAAAAAATTAAAAATTGAAATAAAGTTAGAGAGCGTAATTATGATTATGAAAAAAGTGATAGATTAGATTCATTAAAAACTATTAGAGGTCAAATTATACAATCATATTGAAAAATTAAAAATATTAATTCTGACACCAATAACATCGTGATAAACAATTCGTTAGTAAACCTATCTGTATTCAGTAATATTCCTAACTAGTAAAATCTTGAGAATAATATTGTAATCCTGAAGCGCCATAGCATGACCGAATATTATGCAGAGAAAAAGCGCTTCTACATCGCGGGTAGATGTGGCCGGGAAGGCATGCACGTCGCATTAAGTGTAAAGAATGACTTCAGGTGGGGCCGAGAGAGAACTCCATAGGCATGTCTCAGCATGAACTAAAATCCGAGGTTAGGGTTTCAATTTTGACCAACCTCCCAAAAAAATGAGAATCTATACAAATAATTGTGTCAGATAAGCATAAAAAAACCTGCTTATCTCCCAAGATCAGAGCAAATTTCTGTGAATCGTTCCACAGTGAGGGGGAAAACTTCAGATATGCAACTGGAGATAAATAAACCGATATGGATCCAAAAGCACTCAACGAAACTTTCCGTTTACCAAAAAAAGTAAAACCAAACTGTCCGCAGGCTGGAAACATGTCGGAAGTCAAATCACTCAAAAAAGACTGGGTTCACTAGTCGCAGGGGAAGCCGCAATCATTTGTGCGGTTAAAGAAAAACCATAGCAACCTGCAGATGCCAAGTAACCTCCTAAAGCGAACAATATATAATTGCCCAAGTTACACCGCAATGGATTCTGAGCCAACTCGTGCAAAAATTGCCAGCCAAGTTTAGCACACTACTACCTCGACTCACGCAAGGGAACTCATGGACAGAATGACAAACTAAATCTGCTATCGCCATTCCCGGCAAGTACCGCACCTCCAACTTCCAAACCTAGATGGTGATTCAACCCAAGGTGAACATTGGCTGTGAATCCAAATCCCACAAATCTGACAAGAGAGATCAGGGGCTGGTTCCTTTTGAGAACATTGCCAACAATTATTAACATTTCCTTGCAATGAAATTGTAGGTCCATCATTGGATGCTATATTAACAGTTCCACATTCTTCAGGAACACCTAATACAGAAGAAATTTTCAAATATTCTGACAAGTCTCCAGATGCATTAGCTACCTCAAATTGACTACTTTCATCTGAGTGCAGCAGCTCAGTCAAAGAGAAGTAGGTATGAGGTTCAAACTCGGCATTATCACATCCTACAATTTCGGAGACATTTGAAAGGTTGCTATCTGCAGAACCATATTCTGCAGAAGGGAATAAATCCGTTACAGATTTAGACAGATTAGCCATTTCATTGGGTGTCAAAAATTCAGTATCCAGATTACCTCCAGAAGAATCATTATTTTCCCCCTCACGTTTAACAAGCCTTCTCAAAGGTAATTTCTGAAGCACTGGCCCAGAGATAGTATTACCCTCAACATTAGCATCTAACCTGGGTTCTGTAATCAGCTCAACGCTAGAAAGGGAGAACAGCAGAGGATCATTGTCTTGTCTAGAGAAATCCTCTGCAGGATAGATAGGAGTAGCAGGCTCACATGCTCTCATATCAACAAGTGTTCCAGAATCAGAATCTGCTCCACAGTGCTCTTTCTTTGAAACCCTTGAGTGTGACTTCTTGCCCTCTTGCTTCTTGTACAACAAATCAGAGTAAGGACACACAGGTGACTTTATCCTCCGACATTTGCAACATTTGAAGCCCAGAATATAAAAAATTTTGGACTCTTCAAGCTCAAGAGCTTCGGCATGATACCATTCTGTATAAACCAAATACAGAGATTATAAATAAAGGTTAAGGACTTCAAAATGATGTCATTTAACAACTGAAGAAAAAACTTACTTTTGCATGTTTCACAGCAAATGTACATTAGATCAGACATATATGGTTTATGACACAAGCAACATACAGGCTTCATTTGAGGCAGGCCTGAACGTCCCTTTAGAAGTATATTCTTGAGCCTGAAATCAAAGCCTGTATCTTCAATATTCTTCTTTTTCCATATAATACCCCAAGAACTGCTTCTAGAACGACTTTTCACTTCCAAAGGTGAATCAGAAGCAACTTGCTTCATGTCAGGACAGCTATTCTTTGTCCTAGTAGACCTCAATCCTCGATCACAACATTTAGGCCTTGGCTCTTTCAGAGATGTCAAAGAGGTATGTTCATGGCCTTTTAAGAGTAAGGGACTAGTTGGAGACTCATTACAGGTTTCTTTTTGAGTAAGTAATTTAGTGTGATAACAATGTTTGCATGTGGCCAGGAACTGAACTTCTTCATATGTAGAGACTGTCGAACTTATGGAACAGCCTTGGTGACAATAACCTATGCCCATATGAAACATAACATTAAACCAAGATACAAACAAAATCAAGAGAATAAGAAGTGGCAAGATGAAAAACACAAACTAAATAAACCACATACTGCTGGATGCTGGATAGGATGGATTCTAGAATCAGTCAAATCCTTGATTGATTATGGCACAATTATGCCACATTTATGATAATCCTACTGTAAATATTTTCTTCCTACTGTCAAGGGATTATTTGTATAAAAATCCCTCTGATTTGTAATTGAAAAGTTTAGTAGATTAGGATTTCATTCTATTTCCTTATTTATAATTCTGATTTGTTGAACTATTTATAGTATCTAGTAACCTATTTTGATCATGAAATAATATCATCACTTCCTCAAATATTTCACACATACCACATACTAACCAACAAAAGAATTGGACTAAAATTCAAAATATTCATTGCAAGGTTTAGACTCTTTATGTAAGGGCATTCACGTGTATTTATTCTATGGAACAGGATGATTCATTTTATTAAAAACTGAAAAGATTCATTTCCAAAATTCCTTAAAACCTTAGGACAGCACTGAAAGAATGAAGAATCATAAAAGGAGTGATCACGGTTACCTTGACAGGCACTGCACTTGAGCGCATTCCTGAAATCAAACCAAGAGAAAGTATTAGAAAGAACAGGCGTAAAGAGATAAAAAAGCAATACTATATAAACATATGAACAGAGAGTAGCTAAGTAAGGTAATCACCCAATTAAAACACCCAGCTGACATACAGAACATGACAACATGTCCAATTTGTCTCTCTTGCAGGTAAGGTAAAAAAATATATCCTTGCAGGTAGCTTTCAACCGCCTTTTGTGCAACTGAGATGCAATATTCAAGTACTCTTTATCAGATAGCAATTTTCCTTTGCCTTCTTCATACTCCTTCACCAAATATAAAGGAACACGTATATCGGAGAACCAATACTTCTCCTTTCCTTCAGGACCTTGCTCTATTTCAACATTTTTCATTACCCGCGAAGGAAGATGCTTTTGGCTCCCAAAGGCTATTCTGTAAAAAATTTTGCCCTCTACAAGCTTCTTTTCACAAATATTTGCATTTCTAAAAGCAGAAGTTTCAGTATCTTGACCTTTCCCATCCTGAAGGTTATGCTCAGGACGCACCAGATCACTCCATCTGATATGAAAATCTAAATATCGGACCTGATGCAAATAATCAAATATCAAGTTATTGCCAAATACAACATACTGATCCAAAAAAGTTGTTAATATAAAAAAATATTATTCAAAGTAGTCAATCCAGATGCAACCGACCCCAAAAATACTATAGAGAAATAGTGGATAAGCAGAATGGCTGCTATTTTGAAAATTTAAAATACACCAAATATAGATTATGCTACACATATATATACTAAAGATTTCAAATTTCAATTGTTTGGAGGGGTTTTCAAAAGTTAGAAGTTAGAACAGAACAGAGAAGGAAAAAGAGAACAAAATAGAGTGCTCTCACAGGAAAAATCCTCCACCACAGATGGCTCATCAGAAAATATGTAGGTCTTGTTGGAAATTGAGAAGATTACTACAACTTGGCTCGAAATAGTGAACCTAGTCAGGTTTTGGTGGGAAAGTAGCCTCTAACGTGAATGGATCGCACAAAAAATGAGTAAGTCTTGTCAAAGATGAAGAAGATGATTGGAACTTAGACAAAAAAGGACGTCAGTCACTATAAAGCTTGCTGAATGAAGCAAAAGTTGCTGAAGATGGTGAATGGGAGCACTTAGGGTTCAAGATTACAGAGTTCGAATGATACAACATGCAGAAATTGACAATCTAAAGGGGAAGCAAAATCATAAAATGCCCCCCTTTAAAGCCTTTTAATGTTAAGAAAACAAGGGTAAATTTGACATTTGCATCATTCATCAAATAGCAGCCGCAATTTTGGCCACGATTAGTGCCACTCCAGCTGCTATACATATAGCATTTGGAATGACAGCAGAAACTCGCTTGGCCGCAATAGCGGAAGCTATTGACTACTATGATATTATTATAATACATAAGAGGGAACCTGAAGTGCCAGCTCTGATGCATTTCTGCTCATTTGAACTGCAGCTCTCCAAACTAGCTGTCTGCTTCTTTTAGGAGTTTCAGAGCCATCCGCATAGAATATACCAAAAATTTTCCTCAAACCACCTGTTGCCCACAACCAATCAGTGCTCATGCTTTTATTCCCAAACATATATAAATTACAAAACAATTGGCAAATAGTCATTGACAGGTGAAAGTGCACTGCAATCAAATTGAACCAGACAATATTTGCAGGCTCAACTCGATTATATCAGATTTTGATATAGTCAATAAATTCTTGAACATCTGGTCACGACTAAAAGATCAGCCATATTGATTAATTATGAAGCATGTATTATTTTTATGAACTATTATATTTAGGATTTTAAAATAATTCTATATTTATATAATAAAATTTTAAAGAGAAAATGATGAATAGGTGTCAATCGGGAAGTGGTTTTCCATTTCAGTTCATGGTTGACTAATAACAGATTAAACAAGCATCAATCCAATTTAACTAATAATCTACTACTTCTAGTAAACAATGGTATACAGTCTACTATGTACTTTATACCTTTGCGAGCTGCTTTTCTGACCATGGATTTTGGCAAAACAGCTTTCTGAAATACAGATTTGGTAAATTTGCTGCCATGCCACCATGCAAAGTTTTCATGGCAACCATCTGCTTTAACTTTATCAGTAGATAACTGTTTCTTACACCTCCCACGTGTTGCACGTTTCTGTGATGTTCCAAGAGTACATGCTGTACTTTGCTTTGTAGAAAATTCAACCAACCAATCATCCATCAACTTTACCCAGTCCCCACAATAAGCAATTGTACGAATGTTCTCCTCAAGCTGAAAATGATAATTTCATTAACCAATGGGAAAAAAATTATTTATAAATTTGCACACAACACAAGCAAGATATGTTACAAAATATTTACAATGCATGCAGGCAATATATAAACTCTGAAGTCTGGACAACAATGATAATTACACGTTAAAAATTGAAAAATATTCTTTATTTAAAATAATAATAACAATAATCACTCACTTTGAGTAAAAGAGGCTTTATATCACCAAATGATCTGGCCCATTCCAATTGTTTACGCCATTGCTTTCTAAAGTTTTCACATAGAAAGGGCCCAACTATTAAACCACGTAAACTTTCCTCAATATAAATAACATATGTTGCAATGCTAGGGATGATTCCCTCTCCATTCCTAACAGGAGCAAGGCCAGAAAGGACTTTCACGGCACTTTTGGTTGCACTTAGAGCAGCATGATTTAACATGCATCCTTTCTTGCTTGAAACAAGGGCTTTACAAGAAAGGCACCAGCCACACCTCTCTCTTGGAACCTCCACAAGCTTCTTTTCAGAACTGGGCCAAAAGAAGCGTGAAGCAGTTAGTGAGAATGCTTTTGCTAGCAAAGAAGTGTTTTCAGATGTTGCTTTCCTTAAGTTGTCAGACACATGACCCTCAGATATAGAATCCTCCGAAGAAAGAACGGCCAAATTAGCCGCAGCGGAAGCAGCAAAATCACCATGCATATAGTAATTAATGTATGACTGTGGTTTATTGGAGCAACCCGTGTACACAAAATCATTAGTTAAACTGCCTTTGCATTTTCCAAAACCAGCTTGATCACCTTTAGTTTGCAAAGACAAATTCATAGGCAACCCCATGTCATTTGTATGCCCATAATTATTAAATTGACTGCTTACCGAGGAGCACTGGGCAGGACCTACAATCAACCTATTAACAGAGTTTTGGTACTTTGTGTCTGACTGATTGTTAACAGTAGAAACAACTGAATCCATTGCAGCTTCCTCATGAGACTTCAAATTTACGGTAGGTAACTCCTCAGTTCTATCATTGCCACTGCTTCCTTGAGCAGAACTTTGAGTGGTAACCAGTGAAGCATCAAGAGATGGCACCATATTATCACTAGAAATCCCATTCACAAACGTTAAATTATATTCTGCCTTCACTGAACTAACAGCTTTGTGGTCTTCAACCATAGGAGGAACAGTAGAGGAGTTCAAATCCGTCTTTGTATTTGCTGAGTTTACTTGTGGTACAGATATAACACAAAGGGGTAAGAAGCTTTCTGGAATATTCCAATATTGTAACGCTGCCATGCAAATACCACTGTATATAGGTCTATGTTGCACAGATGCATAAAGCAGTTGGATAACTTCAGGAATGTCATTCTGATTGTAGTATTTAAGACAAAATTCATCACTTTCAACATTGAGCCTGCAATCATGAAAGATCGTAAGATCAAACCTCAAAATTTTCAAGTGAATCTATAGAAGGAATGACAACCAGGAAAGTAAAAAATTTAAAAACCAAAGAACAAAATCAAGTTAGAGAAGAAAATAAAATTGAACTTTAAATTTAATTAACTTGAAAGTAGTGCCTGGACTCATCCAGAATAACAAATGAAGGAGTGGAAGAAACACAAAAGATGTTAAACATACACCAGTAAGTGGTCGCAAGTACCCATGAAAACTTGCCCATACAAATCCTTTCCAAATATCACGCCCCCCTTAAGTGATGTTCCCCGTGCAATTGTTGGCCCAATCATATTTATTTTGCACTCTGGACAATACCATGTCCCTTCTGGTATATACATCTTCATCACACCAATACACCTTGAATGATAAACAGCAGGACAACCATCACAGCAAAGCAAGGTCCCATCCATGCCACATAGGCGACATTCATCTCCATTTCCATCAATATCACCATCCTCGGCAGTTTCAGTATCTCTGATATGTGAAATAGAGTGATTCACAGCATTCAATTCTGAAACAAACTTCATAGTTTCACTATCCTTGCAGGCGGTAGTTTTGGCATATCTTGGATGGACTCTTCTAGGCCCATTGTCAGCAGAAAGGATATCTTCATCATCAAAATCCATCCCAACCTCTGATTCCTCACGCATGTTCATTTCAGCTTTTAGTTCCTCAGACTCCAAAACATCATCACAGAGAATTTGCAATATCATTAACTTCCTACTAGCAGACAACAAATAATACTCGCCATAAAGAATCTCATCATTAAATCCTTTCCACTCAGGTCCCTTTGTGTATCCGTAAATTGCTAAATACTGAATCACAAAAACGGGCCAAGTCAATGAATCAAGCAAGCTCCAATCACTGCACCTGGAAAAATACATATTCAAATTGACATTCTTTTAAATATAAACAATCTCATAAAAAGGATAACACAGAGGCATATGCCATGTTGCACATACTGAGACAAAAGAATGCTACAATTAGGAGAAGATAACAGATTTGTTGTCCTCTACAAAATTAGTCAATGGATGAAACAACACATGTAGTTGCTTTGAAATTATTCTACAAAACTCAACCTATGCAGTCAAAAATACAACATAACAAGCCGCCAGGGTTTTGGGATTCTACACAAAAGGAAAATGCTTTGACGGGCGGAAATAAGGCATCCACGTGCTCCCCCATCCCCCCAAGAATGAAAATGGAACATAAACAAAACAGTTTCATCGTTCAAATCAAACGAAACATGACAAATTACACGCACATGTACACAAACTGACCAAACTTGGGACTACAACACGGAAAAGCATGATTAAAGAGATAATCCTGCAGCACTAAAACTAAAGCAGACACCAAAAAAGGTTGAGATAAAAAAAGCAGTAACAGACATCATCACCTCAGGCATTTTGATGCACGCGGGGAACCTTCTGCTGAAAGGCTTTCAAGGTGACGTCTCAATACACGCATCAGGGAAACATGAACGGCATCAAGTAACGTGTTCGAAACTCGACAATTAACAGCACCAACAAACTCGTCCAGAGTAAACGGACTCAAGAACAAGCGAATGCTGAACGATCGTAGGAATCCATAAACTGAAAAGAGGTACGAAACGTAAGGTTCCGGCACATTAATAGTTCCCGAAGACGGCGGCAACGACAACGGTAACGGTATAGGTAATATCGTTTCGGCGTCGGAGCTCAAATCCCTAGAGTCACCGGACGAATCAACATCCGTTGTTTCGTCTCGTTCCTCTTCGTTTGCAATCGATAAATCACCGTGCAATTCACTCGAATCCTTCTTCGGTACCTCTACGATCGTCGGCAACGCTAATAATTCCTCCAATTCACTCTTCCTTCGAGTCAAATCGTCGTCGAAGTAACTTTCATCGAGAAGTATCCTACGAATCTCAGCGCTATCTAAATCCTCGAAACCGCCACTTTCGTACGTGACTCTGTATAATCCACTATCGTAACGCACGACTTTGCCGAGAAGAACAGTGTCTCGGGGGAACTCTTTCAGCACGTATCGTCCAACCAATGCTATCGGTGCTCTCTTCTTCGATTCGAGAACGGTTTTGGGGTCAACGGTGACGGTTAGGTCCTCCTCTCTTCTCCGTTTCCGCGGGCGACCCCTGGATCTCACAACGGGAGGTTCCATGGCCGAATCGGTGTGTTTTTCACGAAAGGTTCATCGAAGGATTAGGGTTTGTTTGGGGATGTTGTTGGGGAGAGATATATTAACGTGGATTGAAGGTTAGGGTTGTGAGGATAACTATAAGATGAGAGAAGAAGGAAAACAGCAAGCGATGGTGTTGTGCTGTGCTGTTGCACACTCCAACCAAGACGTATCCTGAGATTTTGGACCTCTTTGTTGTTATCACTCGTCGCGTCCGAGTTGCCGACTCCACCCAGCCGAGTTCTTCGCACGCTATTTAATCTTTTTTTTTTTAAATATATATATTAACTTCGAATTTTAGTCTTTTTAAAATAAATTTTATAAAAAACTAAAATTTTAAATGACCAAAGGTAAATAAATTATTGAATAAAAATCTAACTTCTAGAAGAAGATTGTTACTTTTAGAATACTTTTAAAGCAATAAAAAAATGACAGTAAATTATTAAAATGTTAGAAGAAGATTGTTACTTTTAGAATACTTTTAAAGCAATAAAAAAATGACAGTAAATTATTAAAATGTTTATTATGTTACAAATATAATAAGAATTGTTATTTTTTAATAAAAATATTACTTTTATATTATTTGTAATCTTTAAAATATTAAGTAAGATAAATAAATTGACATCTTGAAACTATTTGATTAAATTTCATTATTTCATTATGTGAGTATAAATATGAAAATTTGAAGGTATGTTTGAAATACTAAAGTGTGTTAGAAAATAAAAAATAAATAAATATTTTAATCTGTCTTAAATGACGCATGATAAATATATATATATATATATATATATTAAATGTATTAATTATAAGATTTAATTGATTAATAATATAGAATATTGTAATTTTTAATAAAAAAAAGTAATTTCTATTAAAAATATTGGAAATTTGTTAAATACTCTATAGTCTATCGTCTAAATTGTAAAATTATTTTGAGTGCGGTAAACTGTAATCTCAAAAATCTTTATATACCACAAAACACCACGTTAATAATCACATTGGCTGGTCATGATTATCTTATTTTATCAAAACATGAGTATTGTAATTTTATCTTCAGATTACAATCACACTTTTCTCATGTGTTATATAATGTCACGCTTATTCATTGAACATCAAGGCGAGTGCTTAACAAAATAGACAACTACAGATGAACACACTTATTTGATTACATTTTCAACACACTTCCATGCACACATATTAACTTAGATGTCAATATGTCTTATATACACGCTCTATTCTATGATCTTAGAACCTTAAGAGACTCTTGCTGAACATTAAAAAAAATCTAAATTTTCAAGTAACAGTCTATGCAATGGAAACAAATAGATTCAATTTCACTATTTTTGTTCATTTTTATCATCTACTAAATTGAGAAGCGTATAATTTTTTTTTTCACTTCATTAATTGAATTACAGCATTACACTTAATTTAATTACAGTAGTACACTTTTACTGATATCGACATGTTGTCACACAAAACATTATTGTAATCATTGCTCTAAGTAACGTCTTATATATCTGTTCAATTAAGCCTTTTTACTTAACAAGCCCTCTTTAGCTTTGTTCACTGGTTCCTTCTTGGCAAGATAAGTCTTCTTTCTCTATCGATGTTTTCTTGTATATTGTATTAATGCATCACATTACCCATGTTAATATTGATTTATGACTAGCTTTTCACCAATACTTTTGTTGTGGCCTTCGTTATGGTTTTACACGTTTATTTATTCTCGAGTAATAAAGTTGAGTTGAAACTAAATCAATGAAATATAATCGCTTAAAAATCATGTACTCTTTTAGTTTACAATACATTTTGACTACAAATGATAGTTACAAGAACTAAATATTTTAAAGGGTCGTCGTTTTTATTGGACCATATGAATAGTGAAATAACCGACAGTGTTAGTAACTATATGTAAACTTATTAATTGAGGATGAACAAGTGTAAATTTTTCATGTCAATTCTTTAATATTTGAATTATAAACTTTATTAACTATGGGTTTGAGTTGAGCCACTTGCAAGTATATATTTAGCTTCACGTAAAATAAGATGATTGATTGTATGTACCATGCTAAGAATCTGTGAGAGATGAAAAAATGCAGAATTTAGGAGATTTAAGATAGTTTTTAGGCTCTCAAATGTTAGAGAATATTGACCCAGAAATCTTAGTTTGATTTGTACTCGTATTGGAGTTTAGGAACACCAATTTTGTGTCATAATATAATGATAATGACAGTGTTAGATTGATTTATGCACATTTACGCGTAAAAAATGAGAAGTGGATTACATCAGAAAATAGCATAAATTGTTAGTGCAGAGCTCTCAAAAGTTCATCAAGAAAATGATAAATTTTCCACACAGAGGTGCAAATCGCTCCATGCATTATATTTTGCATTGAGAATGAGAGGCATGCTTTATACCTCTTGTATCCCTTACATGTGAAGAAAAATTAAGAAGTTATATACTTTTTTTTACAGCTTAATGTGTTGATTAACATTTTTAAATTTAAAGCATCTTACTCGCTGGTTTTGTATGAAAACAATCTTATAATGGTTTGATGATTTTAATGAGAAATTTTCGATGTTTATCAAGTGTGCATGATCTTCAAGGTGAAATGGAGTGAAAAAACGATAAATCATCAAAATGTTGCCTTGATCAAAAAGGTATAGTTTAAAAAAAATCATCTATGCTTTATAAAGAATGTGTGAGCAAGTTACACATCTAGTTTTGTTTCATTTATATTCACTTGATTAATTATTATGTTGAACCTTGTCAATAGAGAGTCAAATAGATGGTTTAGAAAATTTTCATTGGCAAATGCTAACTAATACTTCTAGGGACAATAACTTCAAAATAAATACTATTAATATACATCTATCATAATTTTCTAACTAATATCTGTAAAATACTGATTATAAAAAAAAATCCATTTATATGTAATGCAAGTTATTAAAGTCATCGAGCCTTGTGGGGTATATCTTATTTTAACACCAGCAGCCACGAGATCAAAGTAAAACTAAAAGGTATATATTATTTATACCTTCATATTTTCTTTAAATTAATTATAAATTTATTATTTATAATTTAAACGGTTTATTGTTTTATTTTTCCACTTTTAATTTATATTTATATTTTATTCAAAATTTTTAAAAATATTTATACATTGTAGATTTGATAGTTTATGATATAAAATAAGTATATGTAGGAGGCAGAGGAAAAAATAAAAATGCCGACATTCAATTTTATTTATTTATTTTTTATCTGACTTAATCTAAACTCGACATAACACATATATTATTTTTTCTCAAAAAAATAACGATTAAAAACATGAAAAGTGCACGCATTTTTTAAAACTTATTAAACAAAAATAATTTTTTTGCATAAATTTAAAAATTATTTTAAACGATGGACAGGGTATTGATTTGTATCCCTGTTAAAATACTAAACTTAACAAACTTAGAATAATACTGAATCCACTTGTATTTTAGTTACTCTCCCTATGATTTCCATGAATTTGAGATAATTTTTTCGTTTTTTATTGCGCAAAACTTTGACATTCTTGTTTGTTTTATAACAAATATTAACATTATCTATTAAGATTAATTTAAACATTAAATAATAATTTTTTTTATTAAAACATTTATGTTATACAAATAAAATATTTAAAATCAACCCTAAAAATAAATATTACCAAAATCGTTGTTTCTTACCCTAGTGCTGCCAGTTTTATTTTTAATAATACTCGAATGAGTCAAATCGGTTGAAAACCGATCTAACTCAGGCGGTGATGCTAGCCCGTGAAAATGAGAATAAAAAGGAAGCTTTTACTCTCTTTTTTTTCTTTTTAAAATAAAAAGATAAATTAGTGAAAATATTGAGGAAAATAATTTTCCCGCTTAAATGGAATTTCCCGCCAATTATTAATCTTTCCTTCAAAGATTCGTGTAACTGGTAACGGCCATATTCTGTCATTAAAATTAACGACAAATATTGGGGCAGTTCCTCGCTGCACTCCACAATTTGGCATTTTTTGTTAAACACAATTTGGACGATGTTCAAATCTGTTGGGAGTAGTATTATTTAAGTTGGTGTATGCTATTGTTGTTTTCTCTTCAAAAAATTTGTCGGAATTAAAGTGAAAATGTTATTAATTAAAAAATATTACATGAACTTGTACTTTAATTACTAACTTTTAAAGAATATTAGAACTTGTGTTTTTCTTTTAATTTTTATTTAATTACCTCTATTACTAATAATGAACTTTTAAGTGTTTAAAATTTATAAGATTTTATTAAAAAAAAAATTCAGAGAAAAATACAATAATTATACAACATATATATATATATATATCACTTTCATATGTTTAGATTTAAATTTGATATTAAAAATCTAATGATAAAACTCTCAAAAAATAAGTTATACTTTGAACTTATTTGTTTTTAAAATTATACAATTTAATTAAAAATATACATTATACTAAAAATTGCAATTTAAATTGATTACTAGGGAAATAGTTTATAGTGGCCTCACTTGTGATGAGTATAGTAATTTTGTTTCTGATTTTTGTAACAAAATTGACTTTTGTTTATCTTTGATTGCAAAATTATAGGGATATTGCTCAAGAAAATTCATACTATTTGGATGGAAAGTGACTCTAAATAACCTTTATCCTTACTTCTTCAAATTCAGCACTACTATCACTTTCTTTTGACTTAATTTGTATTATTAGTAAATTGATCAAGTCTATTAGATTTGTTCATATTTTTAGAAAAGCTAATTGTTGTGCTGATAAAATTACTAAGACAATGTTAAAAGCTTCATTATCTTTCCATTGTTTTTATGTATCTCCTTCCTAATTACTTCTATTTTTATGTTTTGATACATTTGGTAGTTAGAATAGTATGACTCTCCTATAGATTTAATTTGGACGTTTAATCTGTTTTATAATAAAAAAATAAAAACAAATCAATTTTATCATAATTAAGTAAACTTAAAGTTACATGTATATTGTTATTTTGTTGCTCACCTTGGTATTGACTGGCTTTTCTGTTTTTATTTTATTTTATAATTTTTTATTTAATATTTATAATTAATATATTTTATTTTTAAAATATATAACTATGATAAGTATTATATCATTTAGAATCAACTATAAAAGGTTAAAATTGGTAAAATCATTTATTTTAATATATGTGTATTGTAATTAAAAAAAAAAGCTATATTTTTTGTTCTAACGTTTGCAGGGTACGCTAAGTGGTTCCTTTGTATAAATTATTGTATCTTCAATATTGAAAGAGCAAATTATTATATATTTTATGGTAATTTGATAAAATAATAATAAAATCTAAATAAAAACATTACATTTCATTCAATTTATATTTTTAATTAACTATTGACTTAATATTATTAAGCATTTAAATTTGTTATTATTCGTTATTTAATATTTTTCATATCTACAGCGATAGAAATTATTTAAAAAGATCATAAATTTTCTTTTAACTTATAATAGAAAATAATATATAAATAACGTAAAAAATGTTTTTATTATTCCTCATACAAGAATAGCTAAATATATTAGTTTTATGTTATTATTTATTTGTTATTTTAATGTATATTTGTAAATGAATAAAGTCGTGGTGGGATAGGGATTAATACACGCACATTCCAGAAGACGAGATATATGGCGGGAAAGCAAGGCGAGTGACCACGTGCGTCTCACGTGGACTCCCGCCAAGTAACGGAGATTCATCCCTTCATCGTTCTCGCGCCTCTGTTTAGATTTTTTCTTCTCCCTTTGTTTCACTTTCAATTTAGCAAACCCTTGGCGCGAAATTACGAGGTTTGGGTTAGGGCTTCGATGGGGAGCAAGGTGACTGACCACCACGTGTCCACCGTCCGATCCATCGTCGGTTCGGAATTTACCGACATGGACATCATCAGAGCCCTACACATGGCCAAAAACGACGTCACCGCAGCCATCAACATCATCTTCGACACTCACAGTTCCCAAAAATTCAAACTCCCTCGCAACAATAATCCCCAACCACAACCAGTTTCTCCTCTTAAACCAAAACCTACACCTCATCACACTGTCACCGTCAACTCCAAGCACAGTGCCGGTGATGGAGATAACGATAGTAGTAACTGCACTTCTGGCTCCGATGATTGGTGGTTCGTGGCTTGTGGCGAAATGACAGGATTATCCACGTGTAAAGGGAGGACTATAAATTCCGGTGATACAGTGATTTTTAAGTTTCCCAAGAAGGCACTTTCTGCTTCACCTTCGTCGGGTAAGGGTTTCGGACGGTCAGCGACTTGCTCGGAGATAGTTCGGTTCTCCACCGAACACGGTGGCGAGGTAATGCACATCAACATGGTAGTAACATTGGTTGTTCAATAGTTTAATTCAGTTCGTGTTTTGATTTATGGCATGGATTTTGGCAGATTGGTAGAATACCGAACGAATGGGCTCGGTGTCTCTTACCTCTTGTGAGAGATAACAAGGTTAGGGTTGAAGGACACTGTAAATTTGCGCCTAATGTTTTGGGCATCATGGACTCTATTACTTTGTCAGTCAGGTATGCTCAATGCGAGAAGCTTTGTGACTTGCCACACCGTGTTTAGTAATCACAATGTTGCGTTGAATTGTTTTTCTATAAAATTATTTGGTTTACAGTTAGTTTTTTTTTGTCGGTAAATAATAAATTCTGGTTTGTTTTTGGTGGTGGTGGGGGTGGGATGTTTTTATTTCAGTGTTTTCATCAATAGTTCAGTGTTTGGTAAGCATCACCAGGTTTCTCTCAAGGATGCTACCAATTCTACAGATGAATCCGTGTTTCATCCGCTTCCAACCTTGTTTCGGTTGCTAGGCCTGAACCCTTTTAAGAAGGTGGTTGTTAGTCCTGTGCCACTTGTTTTTATTTTCCCCAAGCATCTTTTATGTCATTACTATATTCAGTTGAAATTGTTATATTTTCTTTCTGCTTGTGGAGTTGGCTTCTGTTGTTAGACAAGGTAACTCCTCAGTAAGTTTCAAGAAAGTTGTAATTGAATATTGACTTGCATCATCACTTGATTTTTAGGCAGAGTTAACTCCCGGTGAATTCTATTCTAATAAGCGTCCTCTCAGTCAAACGGTAAAAAACTATGGATGTATTGCTTTGTCAGTATTTCTGCAACCATTTTTGCCGGTACCTTTCTTTAATGGAAGGGATATTCTCTTCAGGCCACATTACTACGTGCCAAGTCTGAGCATCCTTCTCAAAATGGTCACAAGAATGACAATGAGGATTCCATTTCTGAAATTGATGTTGACAACATTGTTGGTGTTGGATCAAGCTCAGAGTTAGAGGTGCTGTATTCTGAGAGTGACATGCATTGTTTTACTTATGCCTATAAAGATGAAATAATCATTAACCAGGAATTTTTGTTCAGGAAATGGATCCCCCTGGTACTCTTCTGTGTGAACTACGGCCCTATCAAAAACAGGCTCTTTATTGGATGATCCAGATGGAGAAGGGACGGGATATGGATGAGACAGCAACAACCCTCCATCCATGTTGGGAGGCCTATCACCTGGCTGACAAGTATTCCTGTGGTTATTTGATATCATGATTTTAAATTGTGGTTGTATTGTGAGAACTGAAATGCATAGAGAAACTAATAAATGGTTCTGATTAAGTATTTGTGCTTGTACTTGTTAGGAGGGAGCTTGCTATTTATTTGAATGCATTTTCTGGTGAAGCAACAACAGAATTTCCTAGCACCCTTCAGATGGCCAGAGGAGGAGTATGTTTCTTAAGGAGTTAACCCTGGAAATTTTTCTTGCTTTCACATATTGTTCAACATTTATAATGCATTATTTTATTGTGAATTTGAAGATTTTAGCAGATGCTATGGGACTTGGAAAAACCATCATGACCATATCCCTTCTCCTTGCCCATTCAGGGAAGGGTGGATCATTGGGCAATCAACCCATAACTCAGTCCTCTATTGAAGGGGGTGAATTTAGTGATACAGTGCACAATTTTTCAAGCATACCTAAGAAGGCAACCAAATTTGCTGGTTTTGATAAACCGACAAAGCAAAAGAATTCTCTAACAAGTGGTGGCAACTTGATAATATGTCCCATGACTCTTCTCGGGCAGTGGAAGGTATCAGCATTGTCAGTTTTTGCATATGTTGCTCTCTGGTTACTGCATTTCTTTACTTGAAAGTTAATATCACTTTGTATTCAGCTGTGGATGTATAGAGCAAGTCAAATACTTTCTTTCCAGTTCTGAACATTTGACAATTTCTCCAGGCTGAGATTGAAACTCACGCACACCCTGGGTCTCTATCTCTATATGTCCATTATGGACAGAGTAGGCCAAAAGATGCAAAAAGTCTTGCTCAGAGTGATGTTGTAATTACTACATATGGAATTTTGGCCTCTGAATTTTCCAGTGAGGTAGTTGGAACCCTTTTGCTCTAACAGTGCTTATTTGCTTCATTTATTAGAACACATCAACTGATGCATCTTCCTATCTGTCTTATGTACAGAATGCAGAGGATAACGGTGGACTCTTCTCTATTCAGTGGTTTAGAGTGGTTCTTGATGAGGCACATAATATAAAATCTTCTAAAAGCCTAATTTCTATGGCAGCTACTGCTTTAATTGCTGACAGACGTTGGTGTCTAACTGGCACTCCTATTCAGGTGAATAATTATGAGTCTTAATTTCTTATTTTCACGGCTGACAATTTTCTTTTTGGGATTTGGGGATTAATTAACTAATTGATTTATGAGGAATAAGGTTGATACATTAACTTGATATACATTACCAGAAAGGCAGAAACCTTTGATTTGCTCTAAGGTTATATTTATGATCAAACTTATGAAATCTTTAATTAGCTTTGGGAGTGTCTGTCTTATGATTTCCATCTTTGAGTTGTATAAAATTAAAATGTGTTTATGATATCATGGTATAATAATTGATGAGGTTTTACCTGTTCATTCTCTAAGTTGTGGCTTTATTCATCTTGCATTCTGACTCTGCTGCTTTTTAATTTATTATTTGTGTTTTTTCCCAGTGTTGCAAGTTGGAGATTGTATTTAAGCATGCTAACCATTGGTCTGTTATACACATGTGCCTTGCAATGCTGTCAAACCTTACCTTGGGTTTAGATAAGCTTCATTGTTTTTCCAATACTAAAAGTGATTTTGGTGTTAAAAATTTTTATTTAAAAAGGTTAAAAATCGGCTTTGGGATTTTTTCATTACTTTCAAATGGATATGTACTTCAAAATTTTCATGCAACCTGCTGTTCATGTATTTATATTTGCTTCTTTTGTATCTGTCATGAGTCTCATGACAGATGTTGTTTTTATGCTTCCTGACATGGAGCCCTTCATAATCTACAGAACAACCTTGAGGATATTTACAGTCTTCTACGGTTTCTGAGAATAGAGCCTTGGGGTCATTGGGCCTGGTAAATTTACCACTTCCTTTGTGTGTTGGATATGGTTTAAACTGAAATTTTTGACTCCATATATCTAACTGCATTTAGAAAGTTGAGAATATCTCCTAATTATTATGATTTATTTGTTTATTGTCATTATCTTTATAATTGTTTTTCATTATTTCTAAGATTATTAGAAGATAATCTATAATATTTTCTCATGTAAATATTAGAATTAGACTCCTATATATACATGTAAATTATAATGTAAATTGACACAATACAATTCAGAATTTCAATTTAGAATATTCTACATTATAGAGAAGTTGTAGCTTTCAAATGTTTGCTTATATGGATTGAAACAAATAACAATAATAAAAAGACTTATATGTGAAATTTAGAGCATGAATCTTGTGCATAATTATCAGTAGTGCAATTAGGCTGTATTGGTGCTATAGTGAGAGGCTTTTAAAAAAATTCAATTTTCCCTTAAAAACAACACACACACACACATATTTTGGTTGGGGGTTGAGAGTTATGGGAAAAATTTAGATTTCCCTCCTTTTTTAAAAATTCCTAATTAGATGTAGTTTCCCATGTTTCTATCTATTGTCCGACATCTGCACTGCAACCAACACTCACCCACCCTTCTTTTTATTTTATGCTCCATACCCATGCATCTCGATCAGTATTTCTGGCAAAACCACCTGCCCCCCTCTGTTATGAACTCTGAACCCTACACCTCCTTTGTTTTCTTTATGTAACATAACTGGAGTACCACGTATGAAACCAAACTGGATGCCATGAATGTTTAGAATTAGCATAGTCATTAAATGCTATGTATTTATTTTGGGAACATATCTTATACGTTACTGCTACTCTGGTTATTACTTAGATTGTTTACTCTTTTTAAGTGGGTATGTGGCTGGAGTGCTGGACTCTGAAGATTTGTTTTGTATGATCCAGGTGGAACAAACTTATTCAGAAGCCATTTGAGGGTGGTGATGAAAGAGGCTTGAAGTTAGTTCAGTCCATTTTGAAGCCAATCATGTTGAGGAGAACCAAACATAGCACAGATCGAGAGGGCAAGTCGGTAAACTGGTTAAAGACTTGTGCTATTTCAACATCTAGTGTATTTTGTTGACTTATTATTTGTTGCAGGCCCATCCTAGTTCTCCCTCCAGCTGATATGCAGATAATTTACTGTGAACACACAGAAGCTGAAAAGGATTTTTATGAGGCCCTATTCAAAAGATCTAAGGTATTTTGAATATCTAATCTAAATTTAATAATTTCACCCTGTTTTTTGGCACTGAAAAGAGTCACATTGATCCAACCTGTTGATGAAATTTATGCAGGTGAAGTTTGACCAGTTTGTTGAACAAGGGCGTGTTCTTCATAATTATGCTTCAATATTGGAGTTACTTTTACGTCTTCGACAATGTTGTGACCATCCTTTTCTTGTAATGAGGTATGGTGGCCTATGTTCCTGTTAATATACTTGAATTTTGTACCAGAAATCTGCTGCTGTCTCTCAACATATTGTAACTATAAGCATGTGGTCTGGTCAATTGATTTTTAAGAAACAGTTACACTAACATATTTAATCTATTCTTTAAAATTTCTAAACCTGTTCTGTTCAATAAAATGCTATTCATAAGCTAGTCTGAGGAGTTTCTGTCAGGTTTGGTTAGTTTTCAATTTCAGGAAAAAAATCAGTGCAAGAGAAATTTTTATAAACACTGGCCTCTGAACTATACTGTATGGTAATTACGGTTTCTAAGCTGAATTTGAGATAATTATAGGTAAACTTTAGCATGCTAAAGAAATTGATCAGCATGATACTACAATAATAAGATGCTGGATGGTGGTAGCATTGTGGAGGCTGAAAAGTGAATGGCAAAAATGGCAACTGGGAAGTACATATACATTACTGATCCAATTGTCAAATCTTCCTTCTGACTTGACCTAAATTTTGTTACTTTATTAAACTGAAGAATTTTAATGAGGGAAAAATGATATTTTCTGTTTTTAGGATGGACCCTTATGTCTGACTTTGGTTCTTAATAGTTAACAGGATTAAATGAAACGAATAGTCTGCTGGTCTGTTTTTATACGACTTTCTAGGCTGGTGACCCCTGGTCATTTTATTTGTATCATTCAGTTGTCTGAAGTGTTTTGAACATGTTTGGGCTGTGTGTTCATCACAAACTTGATTAATTTCTTTTAACTCCAAAAGATGTATATAGATGTTTGTAATAGTTTGGTGCCTTTGATTGAATCAGAACAATATGCTGCATAGGAATGGGTTTGTTGTTGCATAGGATGGTTTTCTTGGCTTTGCTTGATGTTGTTTACATTTTATCTTTCTTGGGAGGTTTGTTTGATGCAATGTGATTGAAAAGCATGCTTGTGACAATGTTTTCTTTGACCCTTATACCATTAAGTTGTTTTCTCTTCATAAACCTTAACTTATTGGTAACAATTGATTCATTTAGTCGCGGTGATACTCAAGACTTTTCCGATCTAAACAAACTAGCAAAGCGCTTCCTTAAAGGAACCCATAATGCCTCTGAAGGTGAAGGAAAAGAAGCACCTTCTCGGGCTTATGTTCAAGAAGTTGTGGAAGAGCTACGTAAAGGGGAGCAGGGAGAGTGTCCAATATGTCTAGAAGCATTTGAAGATGCAGTCCTGACACCTTGTGCTCACCGCTTGTGTCGGGAATGCCTCCTGGCAAGTTGGCGAAATTCTACTTCTGGTTTATGTCCTGTTTGTAGGTATATCAAGTTAATCTATTAGAATTTTGGATATGTTTTATTTAACTTTGACCGCAGGAAGTTTAAAATTGACTTTATGGCAGTATTTTTCGAATGAATCTTGGTTATTGCACAAATTCCTTATGATACTTTTTCTTTTACAGGAAATTAATCAGCAGGCAGGATCTTATCACTGCCCCTACTGAGAATCGGTTTCAGGTGGATATTGAGAAGAATTGGGTAGAGTCATGCAAGGTAACACTTCTTTTGAATGAACTTGAAAATCTTCGCTCATCAGGCTCCAAGAGCATTGTTTTCAGCCAGTGGACTGCTTTTCTAGACCTTTTGCAGATTGCCTTTACTCGGTAAGATTCATTTCTGACTGAATCGTATTTTAGGAAAGATGTTGTTCTGGTGTGATAGAATCTGAGTGAATGTGAACTTCTTCAAAAGAACCGTGTCCATAATCTAGACATGCCTTTGCTATATATTGTGTTGTTATAATTCTTTTTAATTAGACATCAGCTTTGAGGATTGCTGTGATCTTGTGGCATGTTTTTCCTGTTCTTTTCTGCATCATGTCTAAGCCATTAATGCATTATGAGTGTATTTACCTTTTAATTGGTTTAACATGTTTTGGTGATGAACAATGATACCAAAATTATTATTTTGTGATTTCAATCATGTCCAGGAATAACATTTCATTTGTTCGTCTTGATGGGACTTTGAATCAGCAGCAGCGGGAAAAAGTAATCAAACAATTCTCAGAAGACAGCGACACCCTGGTTTTGACATACTTCTACTTTGCATTTGTTGTGACATAGATAGAGTTGTGAACTGGTTCAATAGATTACTATTTATAACCATCCGTGCTTATTTCTTGCACCAGGTGTTGTTAATGTCACTAAAAGCTGGTGGGGTGGGCATTAACCTAACAGCAGCTTCTAATGCTTTTGTCATGGTACGTGCAAAGTGTTTTTTCAACCAAACCACTATTGAATAAAGTGTCAAATTTCATAGCAAAAGGGCAAAGTGTTTTTTAACCCAACCACAGGGGGATAAAGTGTAATGAATCTGAATTTGTATTGCTATTAATATTGAGTATGAATGATGAGCTTTTAATTACATTGGTTATGCAAAAGTCTCATCTTCTAAAGAGTTATTATTGCCAAAATTGGATGTATATAAAAAGTCAAAACAGTGACCAAAAATGCATGATCAGTTGTGGAGTTTATATGATCTCCCTACATTATTTAAGTAAGAATCACCATTACCCTGTAACTAGACAATTTCAACGTATCATTGCAGCATTTTAAAATTGTAGGAACAAGTACACTACCTTGTCTCAATTCATCATGGAAGTTAAATTAGTCTGAGAGCAAAATATTTGCATCACAGGTCATTTAAAGATTCAAGATGTAAGCATCATGATTAGGGTAATATTATTCAAATTTAAATTATTATTACTCACCAATACTTTTTTTCTGGTTTCTATATAAATTTATAGCAATTTTTTTTTGTATTCCACATTAATTAGTTGTTTTATTATATTTGTTAAATTAAGAAATTTAATGTATACAGTATATAGGAGGAAATAATTACATGTATATAGAATTCAGAAAGTTGCAATGAGAAAGTTTTATGAATAATCAATCCAACGGATATATAGTGACGTTTTGCGGACATTTGGAAAGTTTATTTTTTAGTAATTGTGGTTATAAATTATTTTTCTCTATAAATAGGACCCATGGTGGAATCCGGCTGTTGAGGAACAAGCTGTTATGCGTATTCATCGCATTGGACAAACAAAGAAGGTGGCCATTAAACGATTTATTGTGAAGGTATATTAATATTTCAATTTTAGAATATCGTGCACATCTCACTTGGTTTTATTATATATTTTTAGCTGGGCTGATCAATTGCTTTACTGGGTACAAGACTAAAAGAAATATGGTATTGCTCTAGAAGTTTTGGTAGCAAAACTGCTTTATCTTTAATTTTTGTTAATTGAAGTGCTAAAATGTTGATGAGGGTGATGGTTACTTCATGAATACCAGATATGAGGTTGCTTTGTTCAAGCAAGTTAATTTGGATAATTACTTGTTACTTAGTTGGCATGTTTGTTTTGTTTTTATCACCAATTATGTGGATTTTCACCTATCAAGTATCAATTTGTTATTGACCTGAATGTGGCATTTGTTCTTATTATTCACATTGCAGGGCACAGTTGAGGAGAGAATGGAGGCAGTGCAAGCACGTAAACAACGAATGATTTCTGGTGCCTTGACTGATCAAGAAGTTCGAACTGCACGAATTGAGGAGTTAAAGATGCTTTTTACTTAGACAACTGAAGCAGTGCAAGCATGTTTATTTGCTGTTAGGTGCACTAGTACCTTCTCAAATTTTGCATCCCCTGGTTTTCTCTTGATCTCAAGTGCTGGTGAGTGCAAGGTAGTTGTGATTCGCAACATGAAGGTGCTTTGTAGGCGGCATGTGTATCAGGACGTTGTCTCTTAGCTTGCAATTTCCATGGCGAGATCCAGTTTAGTGGACATCTTGATCAACACAATGCTTGAATCAGGCTGTATGGATTGGAAGGTGCCAATTAGGTGAACATCTTCAATGTAATTGGGGACATATGCTATTGTTATGCTATGTTTGGACGTGGGGAACGAGTGGAAAGAGAAAGGAATGGATAGACTTATTTCTCATTGATATTTGAAGTTGAAAATAACGTAGAAGGAAAGATAGGTTATAAAATTAAATTTTCAGTAGAGTTCTCACCTTGTCAAATCTTATAATTCGAGCCAAGGGTATGTATGTAATTCAATATTAATTAAAATTGATTTCTTTCGTTTGCATTCCCCAATTTGGAAGGAAGAATTATTGGGGTTATATGTTGATCAGCTTGATTGTGTCTACGTAGTTTTCCTTTCTTTCGCACATTCTTTGATCTCTATAGTAAGAAGTTGCCATATAAAAAAAATACTAACCGGCAAAATTTGGTTTAATGGAGTTAACTTTTAAATTTTTTTCTGTAAAATTTTGAAACAAAAGTGATTATATAATTAAATATTTCTCAGTGAAACCTAGGTAAAAATCCAATGAAATTATGGGAACTTATAAAATAATTAAAACTATATTATATATAATTCTGTTTTAACAATTTTTTTTAATCAATTTCAATTAATGTCACTTAGTATATTTGCTTCATAATCTATTTCGTTTTCGGCTATATTATCATTTTTCAAGGTAAAACAGGTAATCATTATAGCTTTGCTTTGGGCTGGGAACCAATCTACCTTTAGAAATAAAAACAATTACTACTAAAAATATATACAATTCGGGTTAAGCTTTTTGGCATATATATTTACTAAATAATAATACGGCACAATGCGCGTTTAAATATCCAAACAGAAGGGGAAAAAAACATTGAAGATAGACACTATTTTTTGGGTGTTTTATACATTCTTATCTATTTGTTGAGATATCAAGATTTATTATGCACTATTTAAAATTTTAAAATTTCTACTACCATTTTAAAAATATGTTGTACAACTTATCTATTTTTATAGCATGTACTCATTTTTTGAAGAAAAATTGCAAGAATTTTTCACAAAATTATATAAATTTGTGATTTATATTCGATGAATGTAGCCTTATCACTGTATATTTCTTAATATCTGTATGATTGACGTTAGTTGGGTTCACAAATACATTCCTTCTTGTAATAGTGACTCAGCTATTGTTTATCTTCATCCATTATTTTCATCTTGTTATTTCCCAGTTCAGCTTTTCATATCTCAAATATTTAAGTAGTGGCGACGACAACGGTTAATAGAAAAACTTTAGAATATTGCTACACAAGAACATACGAACCTAGATTTGAACTACCGAATGTAAAGGTTGACTGAATAACCCAAGTGATCATACATTAGCAAACAATCGATAAGTTTTGGCATCAAGAATTATCTGCCTAACTGCTGCAACTGCTGCTATAGCTCCCAATGCAGAGAAAGCAACAGCCATAAATGCGTTCACCCAAAAAATGGGGCTTCGCTTGGATGGCTTAAATGTCACATTGAAGAAAACCATTGGCAAAACAAAGTCAAGTGGCATAAAACCAAATGCTCCAATTAGTGAGTTTATGTCTCCAAAAAAGGGTAGCATTGCTGCTATAGTTGTTGCAGTAATTATAGCTAATGACCGAGAAATCAGTCTTGGGATTACATTGCGAAGAGAGAACTCAGGGCTTTTTGGGTCTCCAAATGTTTGTTCTAGTACTACATTTGTAGGCTGCAAGTATACCTGCACCAAATGTTGCAATTCAATGATGAAGGTGAGAAAGATTAGTCTTTGCGTGGTTTAATGTTGAAAAATTAATTCTCGTACTTTCTAATAAAAAATTAACGTTTCAATACAAAGATATGACTTAGATCAATTTTCCCAAAAATCTTAATTACCTTCGATGGTTTAAAGTTAGTTATATCAAAATTAATTTTACTCAATTTTAAAATAAACGGGCATAAAGCAGCCAGTGTTTTTGGATTGCAAACCGTGGATTGACCAAACAAAGTAACTTTTTTCCACTTTTACTAAAATCGTGATTTGTGACTCAAAAATAAGTTCAAACACAAATCTGATTATTTTGGAAAACATGTTATTTGTTGATGAAAATCAGTTTGCATTCTTTAAACTATGGTTTGGGATGTGTGAACTATAATCTAAACATCCACCAAACTATGGGAATAAGGGTGTCACTTACCACACCAACAGCAGATAATTGGGTTATTGTGAAAATGTAGGTCATATAAATAAACCATTTGGGCACTAAAAGCTTTCCATTGTCCACAAAGTTGCTTAAAATGAGGCCTGCAGCTTCATTTCCAAATGCCCAATAGCCAGAGATGGCTACGCTAAAGAAAGTGAATATAATTACAGCATAACAAACACATAGTCCCTTCAACATCTTCCCTTTTACAGGGGCTGCTAATGTTGCCTATAACCAAAGTATAAGTGCAAGCATCAAGCAATTGAAATATGAGTAATAGTACTAAGATGTTGTATATAAAAGATAACTTATATAGCTATTCCAAACCTGAATTTCTGGAACTATTCCGTTACCATAAGTTGTGGCAATGATGGCAATGGCATTAAACACCCCAAATAAGCGATTGGTTGTACCACCTTTTAAAGAATAATCCTTTTTTGGCCCTTTTGATGAGTCTCCTGATTGGGTGGAATGCATTAAATTGGAAGCACAGGCTTCAATTAATTAACTGAATTATTAAGGAGAGTAAGGAAAATACCAATGTATATGGAAGCTACAGTAGCACAAGCACTATAGGCTAAGCACAGGACCAAAGACACCAGATTAACGTGTCTTAATGAGTGGAATGATGGGATTTGAGCCAAAATAAGCATAAAGCATCCAAATATCACTACAAACTCATAAAGCTTCATAGTCCCATTTGGGTTTGATAACAGGTAAATTGCCTGCAGTTAATTCCATTAAAATAAGCTCTGAAGAGTTGGTAAATGTCCATGTTTCTGTCATGAGTGCATTGTGCATTGAACATGGTTTCATTTTCTTTTTTTTGGAAATTATATATTTACACTCCACTGTTTAAGAGTGAAATTTTAAAGGAAGAGGGTAAAATAATTTTTAAAATGAGTAAAAAAAAATTAAATATATATATATATATATATATATATATTTAATGTCTTAATTTTTTTGTTTATTTTGTAAATATTTTACCATATTTTTTTAAGTTGTTCTTTCTTTATTTTCTAAAATTTTTCTCTCAAACATTCTCTTAAAAGAAATAGGGAGAAAAAGTGAATATTTATAAATTTATATAGATAATTAGGGGAAAAAGGTGTTTACTATGCTTGGTAAGAAGTGTAAATTTAAATATATGTCTAAATTAACAATGCTCATAGTTTCCTCAAGCTTTCAAAACTGATTTTCAGAATAAAATTATTCAATATTTTTTTTTGGTAATTTGATTTTTAAATAATTCTAAAAAATATGAAATGAGTTTTGAAGCAAAAATAAAACCAAGCATACCGATAATTATTTGACTAAATTATATTCTTCTCTCTTGAAAAATGTTTAAGAATAAAACCAAACATACCTTTTTTTTAATTATGAATATGTGTTATATTTAAATTCTCGTAATGTAAATGAGATTTTTTTTCCTCTGCAATGATTCTTAACATGATTGAAAGCTAGTTTTGAACATTTACTATTAATTTTTTTACTTTACAAAAAGAAATAAATCTTTAGATAAATTTTCGAAACCAATAACTGAGATATCTAATTAAAATCAATATCATGATGTTCCAATTAATTATAATACAACTGAAAATTCTATAAACATGTCTTAAGAGATAAAAAAAATTAATTAACTCTAATTATCCTTATAAAATTAATCTATAATTTAATATGTAAAAAACAAAGGGATAAAAAATTGTAAGTGTTATTTACTCACCTTCATGCATTGTCCTCCGAGAAGGGCACAAAGCACTTCAGCACTATAGCACACTACAAATTGAATTGGCCCCACAAAAAACTGACCCCATCGAGGACCTTCCAATATTAATAACATTCAAACATTAGTTGTGGAAATCTTTTACAGAAAAAATTAAAAAATAAATATATATTAAAATGGACCTAAATTTCATAATATATTTATTCAAATAGCCAAATTTTTTTTATTAATTTTTTATTTTTATATAATAAAATAAATATGTATTTTTTATATTTATATATTATGAAATTTAATAAATATTATAAATATTTAGTTAATTTTAAATAATAAAATAATTTTTATTATTTGAATTATATTTATATTTTTATATTATGTTAATTTGTGTGAAATAATATTTATATATTTATATTATGTAAAATAATAAAGATTATTATGTTGATACATTTTATTGAATATGTAAATTTGTGTTATGAATTTTTAATATTAATATGATAATATTATTTTGAATGAGTATTTAATTTTTTTTAAAAATAAAAGTTGTATATTAAATGAATAAAAATAATAAAGAATATAAGGATATATATTTTTTTAGTATTAACATGATAAAATTTTTTTGAATCAGTATTTTATTAAATAAAATAAGATTTGTATATAAGATGAATAAAAATAATAAATAATATTTTATTTATATATTTTTTCAAATATGTAATTTTGTGTTATAAATTTTGAATATTAATATGATAATAATATTTTGCATAAGGATTTAATTTTAAAAATATAAAATTTGTATATAAGATGAATAAAAATAATGAAAAATATTTTTTTTATATGTTTATTAAAATATATATTTAATTAATTTTTAAAATTATAGTTATAATATTTGGATATAAAATTTGTTATTAATATTAATAAAATGAATAAAGAATATAATGTAGATATTTATATATATTTAAAAGAAATTATAGTTCATTAAATATTTAATAAAAAATAACACTTAACACTGATCCAACTTTGAATTTAAATTTAAAACTAAAAAGAACTTAAAAAAGTTAACTTCTAGTAAGATAAGAATAGAGATGAACATTAGATAACAATAAAATCGTACAAAAAATTATTTTTATTGTCACACTCCTGGTTATGTAAGAAAGACATGTTCAAACATTGGTCATGCATCTAGTTTCTGCCATTAATTTTTTTTTTGTAACAGTTATAAAGAAAAAGAAAAAACTAACTTGAAAGGACGTTACATTAATACATGTCATAGTTTTACTTTTCATGCTACCGCCTCCTTAAATCACTTTTACATATTAATATTAAAAATTTCTACATTGCATTTAAAATGAAATACTTATTCAAAATAATATTATCATATTAATATTCAAAATTCATAACAAATATTTACATATTCAAAAAAATATATACCTTATATTCTTTATTCTTTTTATTCATTTGATATATAATTTTTATTTTTTAATAAATTAAATACTTATTCAAAATAATATTATCATATTAATATTAAAAATTCATAACATAAATATACATATTCAATAAAATATATCAATATAGTATTCTTTATTATTTCACATAATATAAATATATAAATATTATTTCATACATATTAACATAATATAAATATTCATTTTTACATAATATAAAAATATAAATATAATTTAAATAATAAAAATTTTATTATTATTTAAAATTAACTAAATATTTATAAATATTTATTAAATTTCACAATATATAAATATATAAACAAAAAAATACATAAAAATTATTTTATTATAAAAAAACAAAAAATAAAATTAAAAAAAAAAACTGAGTTCCGACTGAAAAATTTTGACTATTTGGACAAAACACAGCTCATAATTCAATCTTCAAATACACGAATTCTGAACTTGTAAGAAACGAATTTTGAACATGTAAAGAATAGGTCTAGTTAGATAAATATACTTGATTGAGTCCATTTGTGTGTGTATATATATTTTTTAATATTTTTTTTTGTAAAAAATTATAGTTGTGGGCCAAGTAATAGGCCTACATGAATTTGACCTAGAAATTACTAAGCTTAGTAGAAAAGAAATTCAGATAAGTGAGTGGAGTAAGATATTTTAATTGACTTCATCTGGGATTCTCACAAGCAATGGATTCTGACTATCTTTCCAGTGGTTTAGCATTGAACATGGAAAGTGCTCATTATACGTCGAATGTAACTAACTGTTACTAGAAAATAAAACAAAAACATAAAATTAAGATAATAATAGTAAATGTATAATAGTGTGTGATTGCATTATTTTGTGAGCACCCAAATAAATGAGTTCCTTTGTGTTGGGTGCACACATGTCAATATTCATCTGCTTCTTTCAAACGTACACTGTTCAAGAGAGCTTTGCTTATTAAACATTTGAGGACATTAGTACAACTTGTTAGGTAAGAAGGATTTAAAGGAGAGACCACCTCTGTGCATTGCAATATATGTGGCAAAAAGAGAGGGGCCATGTAGTGCAGATAATTGTCAAACAGTCAACGGTAGACGCAATTTACGGATATTTCGAGTGTTTCTCTTACAAAAATTATTAGATTAATCTTATTTGGGATAAAATACAGATGCATTTCTTTGATTAGAATTGTAGTTTTACTATAATAACACGTTTTAACTTTTATTTTAAACATGGTAACTTCAATTAAAGAATACATTAACAATAATAGTAGTATTGTGGGTCTAACTTTTTTAGATGTTATTGGTGTTGTTTTTCAATTAAATTATAATTTCATTTCAATAATAATGCGTTCACCGATTCTCATGTTAAATTTTTTATTTTTTTTTTCTTTTAAAAGTATATGTAGTTAAAACATTCTGGAATAACGATTCATGGGATGCATTAACTAAGATTTCTCTCTCTTTTTAATCACACTATGAATAGAAGAGTAATAAAAACCTCTTCTTACATAATTAAACACTCACTAATCAATCTGAGTTTTACTTTTGCCCTTTTTAAATTCATAAAACATTAAAGAGTAATAACTACACATGTCGGTGGGGTAATTCATTTCATGCAAAATTATCACCAAGAAAATATTTTCCTTTTAAAGGACAGAATGTACCTTACATAATAACATATAGTTATAATAGTTAATAAAAAAAAATTAATTGTCATTTATTGATTTTTTTTAATTTGTTACATTTATTTGAATATTTTATGATAATCTCAATTGTTGATTTCTAATTAACTGTTACAATTTAATTTTTTTCTTCTTCTAAAGGTTAAAGCATATCTTCTCAGCCTAGAGGAATGAAATCATTACTTAATAAGCAGATTTTGGAATAAAACAATAACAATAAATCAATAGAACAGAAAAGGAATGTAGTACCTAAGATGTCGTGAGCCATGTCTCTAAATCGCAGCTGGCGATTACCCAAATGAGCATGGTGCTCAAGAACAAGAGATATCAAATTGTATGAATAGAAAGTGACCAGAGCTCCAATAACCAAGCAAAATATTCCACCCGTCCAACCCAGGAAGGTGAAAGCATAAGGAAGACTTAGGAGTGGTGGACCTGCTATTGATGTTGTCAAGTGGTAACCACAGTGCATCCATGAACCTACAAATCACAAATCAATCCCATCTAATAACTTTTTTTAATTTAATTCTCCAATATGGTACCCTTTTTGTTTTTAATCCAGAAAAATGAAAAGCTAGTTGCTTGCTCCTCATATGCTCTAATTTAATGCTCCAGGCTAGTGAGACAATCAAAAAAGAGAAATTATTTTTCCACTGTAAATTCTTTCAATTCTTGCTACAATCATAAAAGAAATGTCTGAAGTAATTAAAATAAGTAATATGATAATGTTGGAAAAAGATTAAAAAATAATATTGCAAAAAATGTTATAGAAAACTGTTGAATAAATAATATAACTCTTATCAACATAAAAGAATGGTCTGTATTCTTTTTAATTATCGTCGTGACCCATATCCTAGACTTTGTTGTTCTTGGATTACCAAGGTTATATGAAGCAATTAAACACTAATTCATTATTATTGAACCTTGCAAGATGCCATAATTATACTGAAGAACTAAACAGAGGAAGAAGAGTTAAGATGAAGAATGGAATAAGACTATAAATGGTTACAACCTTTTGATTTGAGGACAAAGAGAGCGCCTGCATCAACATCTTTTCGGCGGTGTTGTTGTGGCGAAGCATCTGTTTCGTGTACTGCTGTTGAGGTTGGAAGCATCGTATCCATTTTCTACCTTTGTGAGTGAGTGTGTGGTATAGTGAATACTAAATAGATGGTATATAGTCTATTTGTTAAGCAGCTAGGTGACGTTGTTCTTACATTTTTAGTCAATTCCTTTGACTATTCGTTTATGAAACAAACAAAATAGCAACTTGGATATCTAACCTCAAACCTTTGCCGCAATATATTTTTTTTAAATAAAAATATTAAAAGATAGAGTACACTCAGAATGTAAACATTAATTGCATCTCTTACAATTTCTGTTGCATATTTGTTAAAATTGTTACTGTGTTCATAAATTTAAAAGAATATTTTATATTTTTTTAGGTCAATTATAATAATTATTTAAATATTTTAAAATTATAAAATATTTATATTTATTAAGATAAATTATTAACTTCATTATAATATTTACAGTTATAATTATTTTAAATAAGAAAGACGTAGCATATTATCTTAATCTTCAATGCATCATAAAAGTTACTTTACTGAAAATTTAACCTTACAAAATTGCATTGAAGTTTAAAACAACAATTACTTAATTGAATAATTATATATATTAAACTTTTTACATCTACTAGTCTCCGTGGTCAAATAAGACTGCTAATAACTCACTCTCAATCTGCAATGAGAAGAACAACGATTAATTATGCTTTTTGGATGTGTTCTTTTGTCGTCTGCCAAATGTAATAGGAAATATTTTGAGTTATATTAATAATAAAATATCAGTTTCAGTATTTTTCATTAAATAGTAATACTATTATTGTGAAGAATAAAAGTTATGAAAGATTAAATATAAAATATAAATATAGAATGTTTAAAACTTTCTTTTAATCAAGATATGAACAAATTAATCGAATTATATATTTTGGGAAAAAAGTTTTTACTCTCTTATTTCGTTCTTTTTAGATTTGAAATTATTTTAGTTAATGAATGCAGGTGGTGAACGCTTAATGCTGATTATATTTCCTTTGAAAAAAAAATCTAATAACATATTTTATAATATATATATATATATATATATATATATATATATCTAAATAATGTATGAAATTTATTGTATAAGGAAGTTAAAGCTCACATCACTGGGAGTTACATAAGTTTTATTTAAACATGTTGGAAAATAAAAAAATGTTAAAAAGTATATTATTAGTAATTTTAGTTGTACTTTATTCAAGTTGATTGTGTTGTAAATTACTTGATTATTACAAATTTTATTTTTATAATGAATTAATGCATGAAATAAAAGTTGAAATTAAGAAGCATGAAAAATTGTGTAAAGTAAAATTATTAAAGTTTTTTTTTTTTTGCACAAAAATAGGGTAATCTTAAAACAAAGTAACTAAACAAAGTTGTTCATGTTAGCTTACATGTATATGTTTATAAATTTCAGATGGCAAACACAATTTCAAGAAAATAAAAAATAGAAGGAAAAAAAAATTAACCTTATCTATAAACCATAGGAATTTGTAATTCCTACCCTGATTAAGTAATACTGTGACCTTGCAACCAAACAAGGAAGAATCCAAAGTAAATGATAATTGTACGATAAAATTGAGAAAATAGAAAGTTGCGAAAAAAAAACGAAACGGAAGCTGAAGAAACGGCGGTCTCTTAAATTCGTTTTTTTCTGTATAGTGTTTGAGGTTTCAACTTCACTTCCCAGAAACCCCAAAGAAACGCGCGGTTTCGTCACCGCGTTTTGCTTCACGAAATTCTCTGCTAAAAGGTAAATTCCCTCTCTTGAACTATGTCGTTTTAATTAGAGAATTTATCTTCAACGGTCATTGGGCATGAGATGTGAATAATATTAATTTCTGACATAACTTTAAGAATTTCAGTACCAAATGTTCTTATTATGGATTAACGTTGTCACTTATGTTTATATTCACTTTTTGCTCTGTTTCCCAACATTTACAGAAAACCTAGTCCATAAGCCCAAATGGGGATAGGATTTATGTGGGTGATCGTGTCGTAGCGCAAAAACCAAGTTCAAAGTGCACTAATTAGAATAGTTTTTTTTAATGTAAATATTTGTGCTTGAATTTCAAGTAACACATTTTATGGTGCTGCAAGGGATGAATAGAACAAAAAAGGGATGCTGTTAAACCATGAATTCTTTGTGAGCACATTTGAGTTGATCGACTAAGGATTAGAGCTTATTGTTACAGGGAATGATTTTGTTCTGGACTTGAGAGTATGGTGAATGAAAAAAAAAGGTTTACATTCGTTGCCATCAAGGTTACAGTTTTAATGCCTGCTTCAACTAGCGCTTTTTAGGTCTTTCTAGTCAATTTTGTTGCTTCATGTTAAAACATCTTTCTGGTAATAATAAAAGAAAAACTGGTATTGGGATTTTTTTGGTGGAAGAAGGGAACAACAAAATGTTTTTGTTTTTTTGGATATGAAACCACTCTGCTATATGTTGAACATAATGGGAACGATCCAAACTACCTAGAAGCTTAATAATTAAAATTTTCTATGTAAAATAAATTTAAATATGAACTTATATATGGGATATTTTAAACAAGGATGTTGACAAGTTTCAAGAGCTGGCCCACTTGATTACTTAAAATGATCTTGCTGGTGGAAGAATGTGTTCCTGTTATTGCTATTATTATTTTTCTTAAATATCCTTACATAATGCAAATATGAAAATTCAGTATAGTGTCCATAATGTTAGCAACTTTTTCTAAAGCGAGAAGTGTTTGCTCTTCTGGTTTCATGGCATGTTAAGTAATTTAATATAGTGTTTTAATTTCTTGGGAATTGAATGTGTACCCTTTTGTGGCATGAAAGGTGGAAGGATGCCATCAGAATCAGATAAATGGGGATGGAAGCATGTCAGTGTGTTTGGTGGGTTTGATAAAGGAAGTGGTACAAAAAGATGGAAATGCAATCACTGCAATCTACGATATAATGGATCTTATTCTCGTGTTCGAGCACATCTTCTTGGTTTTTCAGGCGTTGGAGTCAAAAGCTGTCCAGCTATTGATAGGTCTTTGAAAGAATCCTTTCAAATCTTAGAAGAAGAGGGGGTTGCTAAGAAAAAGAAAAGAACATCTGGAAGTGGAAGGAATGGCAAGCGTGTTCGAACTTCTCGACCAAATCTCACTCGTATCACCAAAGAAGATGTAGACGAAATCCTAGCAAGATTCTTCTTTGCTGATGGATTACATGCTAACATTGTTAACTCACCTTACTTCCAGGAGATGATAAAAGCAGTTGCAGCTTTTGGCCCAAGTTATGAACCCCTTTCGATACATGATTTGTGTGGTTCCTTCTTGAGCAAAGAGAAAGAAAGGATAGATAAATTTATGAGTCTAGTTAGGGAATCTTGGCCTCACACAGGATGCACTTTACTGTGTAATGGCCGTTTGCATGGTATTTTGGGTACTTTTCAGGTTAATGTATTTGTATCTAGTCCTAGGGGACTCTCATTCTTGAAAGCAGTAACTGTGGACAATATTGATGGAGCAGGCAATTCTGTTGTTAGTATCCTTGAAAACACGGTCATGGAAGTTGGGCCTACTAATGTGGTACAAATAATTTCACATCTTGGCCACGCCAATGCATATCCAGAATCCTATTCGTTGTCGGAATTCCCTCATATATTCTTGTCTCCTTGCTCTTCACATTCTGTTCACATTTTAATGGAAGATATAGCCAAATTGGATTGGATAAGACCTGTTGTTTTGTGTGCTAAAGAAATTGAGAAATGCATAACCACATTTCAGAATTTCTCTCCTTGTGCCTTCACCCAAAATTTGAAAGTGACTTCCGACTCACTGTTTGCTAGAATTGCTCCTTCCTTTTACATTGTCCAAAAGATCCAAGAACTAAAGCAAGAATTTCAAGCAGCAGTTGTGAAGGAAGAGTGGAAGCAATGGAAACTTAGTATTGCACAGGATGTTAGAAGCATTGAAGCAACCATATTAGGGGAAGATTTCTGGAGCAGGGCTGTTATGTTGTTGCAAATATGTGAGCCGTTCATCAGATTGTTTGCTGCGCTTAATATTGACAAATGCGTCATGGGTGATGTCCATGAGTGGCGAGTTCAGGCTATTGAAGCGGTGAAAAGTACAGGAATAGATACTAATGCATTCAATCAACTAGAAGGTTTGATAGATAACAGGTGGGATGTGCTGTTTTCACCTCTTCATTCTGCAGGTTATATATTAAACCCAAAATATTTTGGCAGAGGCCAGACTAAGGATAAAACCATAATGAGGGGTTGGAAAGCCACATTAGAGAGATATGAGTGTGGAAGTGCTGCCAGAAGAGTTCTCAGAGAGCAGCTAAGTTCATACTGGCGACTTGAAGGATCCTTAGGAGAGGAAGATGCAGTGGATTGTAGAGATAAAATGGACCCCGTTGCATGGTGGGAAAACTTTGGTTTTGAGATACCCCACTTGCAAACGTTGGCCATAAAAGTTCTAAGTCAGGTTTCAAGTGTTGCAATGTCTGAAGAGATATGGCAACATAATGGTAATTCATGCGAAGAAATAACTTATGGGTTGGGATTAGAAAGATGGGAAGACCTTGTTTATGTTCAAAACAATCTTAGACTTCAAGGTCATAGAATGGATTTTCAGGCTCACCCGCCACTTAGAGACATGGTACTGAGCTCTCCGGTAGAATCCAAGACAAAAGCTGTGCTTTGTAGTTCTGACAGATTATGCTAGGTTATGTGCTTCGTTACTGTAAAATCAATAAAATTATTCTTTTATCGTCATTTTTTGTGCTTGCATTAACTATGAAATGGAACTCAGGTTCAGTTTGTATTTGGGAAAAAAGGAGAGAGAAGGGGCATTCCGAGAATTGAACTCGGGACCTCTCGCACCCTAAGCGAGAATCATACCACTAGACCAAATGCCCTCATTTATATTCAAATTTCAAATTATCATTTTAAATATTTCTTGAAATTTTCTCTTTATTCCTAAGGGAAGCACAACCCGTGAAAATTTTATTCTTTGGTAGTAAATTATGTTTAAGTACCTTTATATTTGGTCAATGTCTAGAAAATAAACCGTATTCATTTAACTTTTGTTTTCAACTTGCTAATTTTAAATATGTAATTAATTTATTGTTTCACCCCTATTATGAATGAAATCACAGCACACGTGTTCAAAATAAATCTCATACCAATAAATTATTTTCTTATATATTTTTTGTTAAATAATTTTTAAAAAAATCAAAGAACAGTTGTGTCTGTTGAAATTTGACGACAAAGAGTATTCATTTAATTTATTTTACTTAATATACATTTTTGCTTAAATTCTTCCAATATTATTTTATAATTTTTTTATATATTAGTTATATTGCTTATTTTATTTTGTTTTTTATCTTTCTTTTTGTTTTAAAAGATAATAAAAAATTTAAATGATAATGGGATTACTCTTAATATATATAGAATATAAACTAGTAAACATCTTCATTTCAATCTTTTATTGAGGGTAACTTTGGAAACCTTTCTTCAAGAAACCAACATGTGATCTATATTATGTTGTATTATCTTGAGTCTAGACCCACTTTACCCTTTCTTTTTCTTTCATTCATTTTCCTTTTCATTTTGGAAAAAAATTGGTACTCATCAATCGAATAAGACAAGAAAGGAAAAAGAAAACAAAGAAAACTATGATAGCATCTGCAGGAGTTCATGGGTAAAACTGCTCTCCAGGAGGGAGGAGCATTTCATTGAATCCTTCGGTTAACAAAAATGGATTTATCAAATTTTACTTCTTTTACATCTAACTTTCTAGAATACACTTTTATTTGAAACCCATTCAAACATTGAACGTAAGACTCTTTTTACAAAAAAAAAAATAAAAAAAAATAACTATGATTCATTATTTGTAATATTAACTCAAATTTAATATCTATTCATCATGAAGTAATTAACTGAAAGAGCAATGAAACAATTTCTCAGCCTTCTAAAAGAAAGGGTGTCAAATCCTTTTTTTCCTCCTATTTAAGAAATATTACGGGAACAGTTAATTGGGTGAGGAATTGTATCAATCACAAGCAACACAGAAAGCATTAGCCATGTGGGGAGATCATGCTTCTTAATTTCATATTAATAGTATTTTTAGAAAAAAGAAAGTGTAATGTTAAAGACTCACAATTTATGATGTGTATTAATCTTTAGTGATAGTCGTTGATATTTGATATACATATTATTTAAGTAAAATTTTATATTTAATTAAAAATAATATATAAACAATATTGATAATATTACATTAAAATTTTCTCTAACACACACATAGACATGCTAACAAATCTCATCAAGACAGAATAGGATAGGTAACTAACAGAATTGAATGGCAAAGTTTTCTCAATTCAATCCTGAGCTGGCTAGAAAAGCATATTTTATTCAAAATTTTACGCACAAACATAAACTTAAGTGAATTATCTGATATTTTATTTAATAATTAATTGACAAGGATTTTTCTTATAGTGATTTCTAGGCATTTTGTTTTCCGGACCGGACATATTGGCAGAAAACAATAATAACAAAAGGAACCCAAAATTTTCCAGCCAAATGGAGACGACCTGTAAACTAAGGGCTTGTTAAGTGCAAGGTTCATATTAATTAGGATATACTAACGAATAAATAAGAATGTTGGTTAACATATTTTAATAAATATATTTGATTATTTTAAATAATTCTAAATTTTTATCTATTACTTTTTTTTTATCTTCTTATTTATTATACAAAATATATTAACTATATGTATTTATATTTTCTTTGTAAAATTGCAAAATAATAGTATAAAAGGATATAACATATTTTTTTTATATAGAAAAGGATATTATTAATGTTTATAAAATTGATTTTATCAACCATGTTCTTAAAGACAGTGCTTAAAATAATAATAAAAAATTAAAAATGTATCATTTCACGAAAGTAATGTATTTTATCATATTTTTAAAATTTTATTATTATTCTTTTAATTAGCAAATATCTTATTGTATACTTGGGTTTTTATTGTTATTTTGTAGTACCAGTAGTCACATTTTTTATTTTCTCGCTCTTGTTACATCTTTTTTTTTTCCCAAGGATATACTATGCAACAAAATTATTATTATAATTATTATTATTATTATGTCTTCTAAGAAGTATTTTAAGCATGATTTAATTCATGTGAAAAATTTTAACACGATTCTCTCATAATTAAGATGGAACATTTTGTGTGTAAAATTTGCTTAATAGATATTTATGATTTATTTAAGTTTAAATAAATTCTGATGCTATCTTAACACGATTCTCTCATAATTAAGATGGAATATTTTGTGTGTAAAATTTGCTTAATAGATATTTATGAGTTATTTAACATTAAGTTTAAATAACTTCTGATGCTATATTAAAAACTTTGTTCAAATCTTATAAAAAATATTTTCACGATATACCTAACTTGTGTAAAGTATTACACACAAGAATATATTTGAACCTAAAACCCATAATTAAATTAAAATAGCTCCTCCAAAATTTACACGTTAGGGGGTTGATCCTTGCCTTTCTCTTCGCATGTTGGCCTTAACATGCAGGTTTATTGCATTATTGAAGAACAAGGTTGTCCCTACATTTCCCGTCTCACTTGTGTAAAATAGCCCTAGATCATCATCACAACGTCTCAATTTTTTTTCCTTCATGGACCAAAACGCAAGTCTCTTTCATGAGTCATCACCTAATAATAATAATAAATCTGATTTTATTGCAGTCTGAAGGAATGATGATTTATGTAAGATGCTTGCAGCTTGAATTAAATATGGATTTTAATCATATGCTAATTACTTCTTGATACATTGAGACCCCATTGCCAATTCAGTGTGTGACTTAAATCTCTATTGCAGGTTGTGCCACAAAAATACATGCATAATCCTTCTTGATTTTTTAACATCGAAATTTACCCATTTTCATCACTCACATTGTAACTCAAAAATGGTTATGTGCCTCAAATAGCTTAGTTCATAAATGCACCTCAAAAACCAACGTTAAAACCTACAAATAACATTAATAAATAGATTTTGTAAGTTTGTTAAATATATAACATTTTATTCTTACATCACTAAGTATTCTCAATTTATTAATAATATTATTAATTAGGCAACTATGTTAAAGAAATCATGACAAGTTACTTAGGAAAAAAAAAAAAAAAGAGACACACACAATGCTTAGAAAATATAATTATTAATTATAATATTTTTTATTCATTTTTAAAAGCATTTTATACAATAGTGAATGTTGATTTTTTAAAAAGATAATACAACAAAAAAAAGTTGCATAAATAAAAATATTACATAAATGAATAATTATATAAAAAATGATAAGATGAAAAATGTCTATGTATAATAATGTTGAAGTAACATTTATGTAAAATTATTGATTTTGTATTTCAACTTTATTTTGATTTATTTTGTTTCTCTAATTTTTAAAAATATTAATTTTATCAATCTTTTTTTAACATGTACTGTTGTGCATTATATATGTATATATATGCTTCAGTTTTAACTTTCTCTCTTCCACATTTTTCTTTTCTTCCTCTTCAATCCCTTTTCTCGTTCATTCTTTTTAAAATCTCGCATATCATAGGTAGGCTTGATCTAAGACAAAGGTTGCAGGACAGAACACTACTCTAGAGGCACAAAAAGAACTCTGAATGTCCAACAAGTAGCCATACAGATAAGAAAGAAGATGACAAAGGAGACTAAGTCAAAGCTCATTGCAAAAGCTATTTGAAAGAAAAAAGAAAAATAATGTGCTTGTCGGATAAAAAAATGTTGTGATGAGGATGAAAATGGACCATGGTGCCGTATTCTAAATTGTTTTCATTCGCAGGTTGAATTGAAGATCTCTCTGCTCTAATATACTTTGCAGTTAGGTCCTCCTTACCTTTTGTAGAATTTACAACAATGTACTTTTTTAAATGATATTTCTTTCCAAATTAGCTTAGATAAGCGTAACCACGTGTTGATGGATTTTGAATGTACCAAAATGTTAATTTTAGGACATTTATTAGCTCTTGATAATAATTTTGAATGTACCAAAATTGTTAAAAAAAAGTTTGACTTCATTTGAATAAGCTTAAAATCATTCCGTATAAAAAATTAAAATTAAAATCAACAAATTTTTCAGGTAAAAGTAACTTGTGAAAGAAATATGATTTATTTTATTTAAATTTTAAAAAAGTTAAATGAATAAATTTTTAAAATAATTAAAAATTATAAATTAATTTTAATTTATTAAAAGGGTTTAATTTATTTAATCGAAGTGCTTATGATAAATAATATTTTAAATAATTACGTCGTATGCTTATTATCATAATGTTTGATTGTTTCATTCTTATCATAATTTTGCAATAAAAAATATATTTGATATAATAAAAGTATAAAAAATATTTAATGCATTATTTATTAAACAAATAAACGGATAAATAAAAAAAAAAGGTTGTATCACCGCAAGAATTATTCTTGTAAAACGACGGTTTACATTTATGAAAAAGCATGTGACTCCGTGTTGCTTTAAAATGCAAATTGCAATTTCTCATGCAGAGTCAGTCAATACTCAGCTGTGCGTTTTTTGTTTTTAAAATCTTATCATTTTCCCAATCATGCGAAACGGATGACGCTAAAAAGTATTATAAAAAAAAGAGAAAGGCCAAACACTCCAGGGATTACAGCCTATATAGTGACCAAAAATGAATCAACATCTGAATTCTTACTATAGAAAATCTCAGAATTTATTTTTAAAAATATTAATATTTTAAATTCTTATAATTATTAAAAGTAATTTAGATCATCACGATAACATAACATAAATCTGATTATATCATGTTAATAATAACTTTAAGATGATATATGATGTGACCAGTTTAAATGTATTTTATATTGTTAAGAAATAATTATAATTTTATTTTTAAATTTTCAAAATTAAAATATCAAAATTAATAATTTTTAATGGACAAACTAATTTTAAATATATTTTATTCTACTTATTAATGAAATTAAAATTAATAATAAAATTAATTATTATAAATAAAAGATAAAACAGGTTGATATATATTTTTAATATAATTTAATTTTTTTTTTTAAATATATGCAGTATTACTTGATTCATACTTGTTAGTCATGTCCAAAAATTAATAAAAAAATATAGGAAAAATTTTTTTAAAATTTTTTTAATTGAAATATATTATAAACATTATATAATTAAAAATCATTGTTTTTTAATAGTTACTTAAAAAGTATATCTTTAATAATATTGAATTGATAATTAAAAACATCGAGTAAAACATTAAATTAGCCATTAAAATTTTAATTATTGATTATCTTAGTTTTAAAAATTTAGAAAATAATCCTTAAAACTGACATTCATCAATTATTTTATTAACTTTAAGATTTATTAATTTTTTACATTTAATTTTGTCAGGTTAAAGTTACTTTATTTTCTAATTTAGTGTGCGTTAATTACTTTTTTCATCAACCATTAACTAATTTAATTCTTAACATTAACAGCCAAATTTAATTATGATTTTGAATTATAAATATCAAATTAACAATAACTATTAAATATAAAAACAAAATTTAAACTAAAAAAATATAAAAACAAAATATACAAATTCATTAAATTTTAAGACAAAGTTAATGGCAATTTTAGAAACTAATTTGATCAATGGTCCTTTTTAGAAATCAATTTGCTTTTATTAACGGTCCTTAGAATCAAATGTTAAATTTATTTATTTTTATAACATAAAAAATTGAAATAAAATTATAGTCTCAAAATATAAGACTATAAATAAAGGAATACTTTTCTGTCTGCATCGATTGCCCCCACTTCTGGTCCTTCTCTCACACAAACACTGACTTTGTCTCTGGTATGCTCTGTCTGATTTTCACTCCGATAAGGAACAAAAATAACCATTCCTTTCCTTTGGTTTCCTTCTTTCTCTGACACTTGCATTAACAAAAATGGATGAAGCCAATCCCAAAATTTTCATACCAAACACGGTCGAGGGAGTGTGTTCGCACGTGGCTGGGCAGATTCAACTGATTTGGGAAGTGGTGAAAGCGCCATTGATAGTTCCTCTGTTGAAGCTTGGCGTGTACATTTGCTTGGCAATGTCGCTCATGCTCTTCATCGAGAGGCTCTACATGGGCGTCGTCATCATCCTCGTCAAGCTCTTCTGGAAGAAACCAGAGCAGCGTTATAACTTCCACCCCATTCAAGACGACGTCGAATTGGGAAGCTCAAACTTCCCTACGGTTCTCGTGCAAATCCCAATGTTCAATGAAAGAGAGGTAATAAGAAGAGTCAGAGACTAAGACCGCAACTCTTGCCTTTTATGATTGTTTCTTACTCTGTTGGGTTTTGTTTTAGGTTTACAAGGTGTCCATTGGAGCAGCATGTGGGCTTTCTTGGCCCAATGACCGTCTCGTCATTCAAGTCCTCGATGATTCTACCGACCCACTCATTAAGGTATATTTGCAGTTATGGACCTGTTTACATCATTTTCTTTCCTTTTTATTAAAACTGTGTTTAGGATTAGAGAAGGAACGTTAACATTTAACTGGCAGCAAATGGTGGAGGAAGAATGTGAGAGGTGGGCTCGGAAAGGGATAAACATAACGTACCAAATAAGAGAGAACAGAACGGGTTACAAAGCGGGTGCACTCAAAGAAGGGTTGAAACGAAGCTATGTGAATCATTGTGAGTACGTGGCCATTTTCGACGCGGATTTCAGGCCAGAGCCAGGTTTTCTAAGGCGAGCAATTCCTTTCTTGGTGGGTAACCCTCAACTTGCTCTGGTTCAGGCTCGTTGGAGATTTGGTAAGCCCCCTAGTCAGAAAAAATAAAAAAAACATTACCTTTTACTTTTAACAAAATTTAACTTCATTAATTAAAACTAGACAATTGACAATCCAAACGAGGAATTTCTAGGTTCACGGTGTCGGTGGTAGCTAGTACGATGTTTTGTGGAGAGGTGGAGTGTAGTGTACTTTGTCAATGTCGTTTGCTGGCTGCGGCGAGAAGGGTTAGCCCATCATTAACGTGTGGGACCCAATGAGACCTCTCTGGGCCACCGACGTTGTCAAGCTTAAGCTTCTTTGCCCCCACTTTACTAATAAAAACGCCTTCCTTTTCTAGCTGTGGACCTAAGCCAAGTAACCATCCTCATTCATTGTGTGCATAATTATATTAATAATTAATAATCATATTACTATTATTATATAAATGTATAATCTCAGGTGGGGCGTGCGAAAGTGAACATTTCTTTTGGGTAACATTGTGGTCGCTGAAGTTTGATGTCCTCGTCTTGGAGGTTGGTCGATGTCGTCGGTGGAATCGTGATCTTTGTGTGGGTGAACGGGGTAGTTTGGTCATTTCCGGTGAAAGGTTTGAGGCTCCACTGATTTGCTTTATCAGGGAGATTTCTGAGATGAATTGGGAAAATTCTTAAGACGTTCGTAGAACTTGTTTCTCCAACCAGGGAAGAAAATTGTTTCTATGTTTTCCTTCAATACTAATACTCGTATCTTTGAATATAACTAATTTAATTAATTGTTATGGTTAAAAAACTATTTTATCAAAATAATTTTATTATTTAAAAGTGTTAAAAGTTAGTAATAGTTAATCTTAAAGTTATTTTAATTATTAGTTTGCAAAAATTATTATTATTTATTATTTTAAAAAATTAAATATTTTTTTATATCTTAAAACGAAAAATAAAGAGTGTTCAAGTGACAACTAATGTAAGTAAAATAACAAAATATTTGACTAAGCTATGTTTTAAGGCAGTATTGATATTTTTATATTTTTATATAAAATATTTATGTTATTTGAATAATTAGTAAAAAAAACCCATTAATAAATAGAAACTAAGATAGTTATTAGATAAATGATAATTAGCATCTTAAAAATACTTGCTAATGAATTAAATGTAATTTTTTGGGTTAAAAATATTATGAATGCATATCTTTATTTTATTTTATTGTATTTTTAATCCATTTAAACGTGATTTTTAATAAAAAAAATAATTTTTATTTCTTTAATCAATATCCTAAAGATATTAAGTTAAGAAGATCATATGTTCAATTATTGAAAAAATTAATTTCAATTTTATTATTATATTTTATATATAAACAGCTCATATAATTGTTATATTTTAAATAACTATATTTGTATGATTTTAAACTTTTGAGCTGTACTGCAAAGTGTAAACAAAGAGGTAAAGAAGAAAATGTATCATAAATGTACGTCCATTCCAAAGTTCCCAGTCCAGTAAAACCCACTTCTCACGTGATTTCGTATTTCGTAGTATTTTTAATCGTTTTATTTACTTATCAATTCAGTCCCAAAAAGAAATAGCAATAATCGTGACCCTACAATGTCCTCTACGGTGAACCTTTGGGCCATGGCCATGGTTGCCGACATTTAACCTATCACCCCTCTTGCATCCATTACGTGGCACACGAGGACAAATAAACTAAATTGCTTTAATGTACTTAATACTTTGAGGTAGGATTTGTGTTTTTCTTTTTCAATTGTGACCATTATTGTACATGTTTATTAAAGCTTTGGCACGAGTCTAACATTTGGAGAATTCTACAATTGTTTTTTATTTTAATCCTAAAATTCGAGCACGTGTAATTAATTATAAACCATTAGTAAATATCAATTTCAGGATTTTCTCTTACTTCATTAATTTTGATCGTGGTGGTTGATTTGTGACAGTGAATGCGGATGAATGTTTGTTGGCAAGAATGCAAGAGATGTCCCTTGATTATCATTTCACAGTAGAGCAAGAAGTTGGGTCAGCCACTCATGCATTCTTTGGTTTTAATGGTAATTCTTTGAGCTTACTTTCCAAATATATTGGACAGTATCTATGCAATAATATGATAATGCTGCATGCATTATAGTACTTACTGATCATTAACACAGATAGTGTTTCATGCATACCTTAATGCAGGGACAGCGGGTGTATGGAGAATTGCTGCTATCAACGAAGCAGGAGGGTGGAAAGATAGAACAACAGTGGAGGACATGGATCTTGCTGTTCGTGCCAGTCTTAGGGGCTGGAAATTTATGTACCTTGGAGACCTTCAGGTATGCATACACTCCTTTTTACCAATGCAACATTATGAATCCAATCCATTATACAAACTGAATGCATATAAATATAATGGGCTATATGATGCATGGTTTTGCTATTCTACCTGCAATATTATCTTTACAATTATGCTTTTCGTAATGGTGGGTGTTTCTTATTAGTCATTAACATGAACCATGTGTAGGCAAACAGTGAGCTTCCTAGTACTCTTAGGGCATTTCGCTTCCAGCAGCATCGATGGTCTTGTGGTCCTGCTAATCTATTTCGCAAAATGGTGATGGAGATAGTTAGGAACAAGGTTAGCCTTTTCAATCATATACTAATGCAAATTGGAAGAAATAAGGTTGACCGTTATGAGACCCCCTTGTACCCGTTAATAATAATCTTCCTTGCTGATAAAAAAAAAGGGTCTGTCATGAAAGGAAAAGAAAGGAATTTCCTGATTTTTTTCATGTTTTATTTGTGCAGAAAGTAAAATTTTGGAAGAAAGTGTACGTTATCTACAGCTTTTTCTTTGTTCGTAAAATCATAGCTCACATGGTCACCTTCTTCTTCTATTGTGTTGTGCTTCCCTTAACAATTTTGGTCCCTGAGGTTCATGTTCCAATTTGGGGAGCTGTTTATATTCCTTCCATCATCACCATCCTCAATTCAGTTGGAACACCAAGGTCTGATCTGATATTTCTTTATTTGCCATATTATACCCTTAATAGTCCCTTAATTTGTTCTAAAGTCTATTTGAATTGAAACTTTTGCAGGTCCATTCACCTTTTGTTCTATTGGATCCTTTTTGAGAATGTGATGTCATTACACCGTACAAAGGCCACCCTCATCGGTCTGCTAGAAGCTGGGAGAGCCAATGAGTGGGTTGTTACTGAAAAACTTGGAGACTCTGTCAATAATAAGAATAAAGCAGGAGGTGCTGCCAAGAACAAGATCAATGTCACCAAAGCAAAAAAAAAATTTCGATTCAAATTTGGTGAAAGGTCCGTTTTCTTTTCAAAGACATTTCTATCTTCATTTGGCATTATGATTCCAACTTCTCCACCACTTGCCTTTGTGTATGTGTGTCCCACTTTTGTCGTTTGTTTAGAATTTTGGACTTCCATATGGCACTACGGCATTACGAAAGGGACTAGATGGCCACGCAAATAAATTAATGATTGCATGGGAATATAATATTTATCGGTCTAACGATATTATTGTGACTAATATCTTTTTAGCTTCATCGTAGTGGTTAAAATTCTTTGAGTAGGTAAATTATCATATTGGATGTAACGTACTTTAAAATTCTAGCTTGTTCGAAGTTATTTTTCATTCTCCTGGGCCTAAAGTAGGCACTGTTCATGATTGTTCTATATACGTTTGTCACTTGCACATGACATAGTATTTTAGAAAATCGCGTGATTAAAATTATTAATAACGAACACTAAATTATATGACAATATGTTAGAACTGAGGAAAACTGGTGGAAGCCTTGCTCCAGATCATACACAAATATACTTGATGTAAAATCTCTTGTATTAGGATTCTAAGTCCTAACTCCTATCTTTTATTTGTTATTTCTTTGGTGGCTAATGTGTATGTTTCGTGTTACTTGTTGAACATGAACAGACTTCATTTATTGGAGCTTGGATTTGCTGCCTTCCTCTTCCTCTGTGGATGCTATGACTTCGCGCATGGCAAGAACAACTACTTTGTGTACCTCTTCCTTCAGACCATAACCTTCTCAATTGTAGGATTTGGCTATGTTGGCACCATTGTCTAACGCCCGTTGAGCCAAAATCTTGAGTCACTTTTAAGTTTCGATGTGTTGTGTCCATATCTTAGTAGTTTCTCTCCTCAATAAAATGCATAAACGAGGGCTGATTTCTTCAAGCAACAAAGCATTGTGTCAAAGCCAGAGCAGATAATTGGGAAAGAGAGGTTTTTTTCAAAAAAATAAATAAAATTATGCCTCAAGTCAAAAGAATCAATTGGAGTCGACAAGTAGATAATGTTAGTTTGTTTGCATAGATTGTCCTCGGACATTTTATGGCTGTTTATTTCTTGGTTCCTCTATTTCTTTTTATTCATAGTCTGCCAAATAATGGGGTGGATAAAAGATGAATTTCAAATATAATACAAGTTGTTTGTCATTTTTACAAAGAAATGGATTTCATTAATGGTGTATGTAATCTTAATTTGCTTCTTAACAACGTGACCATTGGGAAGTGTGAATTAAAAGAATAAACAGTCTCTGATGGATAAAATGATTGATAATGATTGCAAACTTGATTTTCAGTACTTGAATATGTTCTTTATTTGAAACCAGCAATTTTTTGGGCCATTTGGTTACCGTACCTGTAAATTACTTTGCTCTCCCTACAGACTTGTTCTCTACCTTGCCCATAAGATCCATTGTTATAGTTTTATATAAACAGTGTTCGATTCATTTAATTTTTCATTTTTGATTGTTAAAATTTTGATTTCTCAACATTTCGATTATAAAATAAATAATTGTAAAAATTTATAAGTCTTCAAATCAAATTAATTTTAATTGCAATAATTAATATCCTCCCCTTCAGAGTTGCTTTTGTTCATACCCTCCGAGCCGTATGAAATTAATATTAAGATAACTAGACAAGAGATCACATGCGCCTGTAAATATATGCTTTTGTTATGTTCTCTGTCCCGCATTATCAAAACTAAGTTCTTTTGCGTCAATTATCTAATGCTTTTAAGTAACCCATTTATCACAAAGCAGCAGGTTCAATTATAATCCAATTATGATATGCTCTTTTAATTGCAAAGTATCCCTTGGATTAGCCTAAAATATCAATTTTTTTAATCACTTTCACGTTTTACTTGTATATCGTGTAACCCTATGCGGTAAGAATCATAAATTGATATTTTGGTTATTTCAAGAAAAAAGTCATTGCTTGTATGAATTTTCCTCTTTTTTATTTTTTTATTGGTCTTATTTTATTATTGGTGTAAAACGTGATACAGATTCAATCCATTCTTCAAAACAGATACTTTAATACTATATTAGAAGAATTTTCTTATAATCGTTGGAAGAGGAAAAAAAATATTTTTATCCATTAATTTTGACAAAACAAGGTTGCCCAATTATATTTTTTGACAAAAATCTTTTCACGCCTCCATTTTTTTTCTATTCGCACCCTTAGACCTATTTTTTATTTTTAAAATTAAATTTTGATTACTTTCAAAATTGAACTTTCCAAAGAAAGTTTAATACATTCTAAAAATTAATTTCTTAAAAGATAATAAAATTACACGGGTTGCAAAATCATATCTCCTTTCTTTGCCTCGTTTGTTCATGCTAAAATTATAGCCCAAACCAAAGCAAGAGAGGTGGCCCAAATTTAAGAATTCTGAGGCACAGGGGCACAGAAGATTCTGACAAAAACAAGGGGCATACAACATAATTTTCGCGTTAACAAAAAAGAAGAAGAAAGGTAATGTTCGTAACCGAGACAAGAATACACACAACAAACAAACGCATAGGAATTCTTTTTATAGTTTAAATTTGATAATTTTTTAAAATTATATATAAAATAAGATATTATGATTTGATGGAGAATTTTTTTTATTTTTAAAATTTTGATTGAAATCTAATATTCTAATCCGTGAATTTTGAGTAAATAAATTTTTAAATATATTTAATTCATTTAATTTATAAAATTTTAAATAAAATAAATTGAAAAATAGATCAAATTTATTTTTACTTTAAAAGTAGAAAAAAACTTAATTAATCTAAAAAAGATTAAAAACACCAAAATTATACACAGTCAACACAATACTAACCATAAAAATATTATTATATCACGTGCTGAAATTATTTATGTGTATATCTAGAGACGTTAGATTCAAGATGTCTCCATTTAAGCAGTATATCAATAATATACTATGCAACCTATTGTTTTCAAGGTCATTGAAGCTCATGTGCTTGACATTGTTTTCGTTATCTTACCAAAACTTGAATGAACCACCTCCTGCACTCCATTATTTTTATTCTAAATATATATCAATTTCAAAATGAAACGCGTTTTGTTTTCATCTATTACAAAACAAAGGGTGCGTTTATATAAATAATTTAATTAAGTACTTATTTAAAAAAAATCAAAAGAACACATAGTCATGTAGTATAAATTTAGTTAACAGCATGTTAAAAAAGTTAAAAAAATTATGAGAATTATGAATATTTTCATAAATTCTTGATAAGTTTGTCTATGTACTTTTGAAATTAAAAATACTTTTGTATCATTAGGAGGTATCTCCTTTATATTTAAAAATTATTTTTAAGTACAGTAATATAAGTTATTAAATAAAATACTGATTTAGTTAGTCCAATAATAAAATCAAAAGAAAAGACAGTTCTTCTTATATCACAGGTACCACACACAAATTGCGATTGAGCAACTTTCGCAAGCATACTGAATAAATGTTATACAAAGATTTGTTGATGATGCAACCAAAGCAATCACAATTGGCAGCGAAACAAATAAAAATTTGTGTTCAAAATGTGATTTTTAGTAACTTTAAGTCTCCAAATTTCAACGAGTTTAACATATAAATATTTCAAGGTATACCGCATGTAAGAATTAATCAAATCTACACTCAAATTTAGAATACTAAAATAGTTACAATAAATTAGATATCTTAAAAATGCTTCCTTTTAAAAATTGATTTTAGGTATACGTCAATAATTACAATAACTCTAGTTTTTATTTATCATAGACTAGATTACATGTCGTACACCATCATTTAATGCTTAATTATCAATTGAATTTTAATATATATATTAAAACAATAAAGTATAATGAAATCAAATTCGGTCATGGATAGAAAACCGAACACAAAAAATTCAAAGATCCTCGTCATCAAGCAACTAGCAATACATGAGTTTTCAGCTTTGAAAGGTGTGAAGTGTGAACTAGTTAAACTACACCCCAAGTCAACCATATTTTTGCCATTAAAACCCCTTATCTTACCCAACCCACATCACTGTTTTCCCTTGGTTTCTTCCTCTGCTACTTCCATTAACAAAAATGGACGAAGCCAATCCCAAAATTTTCATACCAAACACGGTCGAGGGAGTGAGTTCCCACGCGGCTGGGGCGATTCAACTGATTTGGGAAGTGTTGAAAGCGCCATTAATAGTTCCTCTGCTTCAGCTTGGGGTGTACATTTGCTTGGCAATGTACCTCATGCTCTTCATCGAGAGGCTCTACATGGCCATCCTCATCATTCTCGTCAAGCTCTTTTGGAAGAAACCGGAGCAACGTTATAACTACCACCCCATCCAAGACGACGTCGAATTGGGTAGCTCCAATTTTCCTACGGTTCTCGTGCAAATCCCAATGTATAATGAAAGAGAGGTAAGACTGAAAGTCTGATACCACTCCACATTCTCTCTTGCTTCTGTTTTATGATTGTTACTCTGTTGAGTTTGGATTCAGGTTTACAAGGTCTCCATTGGAGCAGCTTGTGCTCTTTCTTGGCCCGCTAACCGTCTCGTCGTCCAAGTTCTTGATGATTCTACTGACCCTCTCATTAAGGTATATATATAATCAAGAACCTACTAATATAATATTTTGAAAAAACTTTTAATCAACAAAACTTAGATACACTGTTTATAAAATTTGAGTTTCACGTTAACGTGAAAAGTTTTTGAATTAGCATTAAAGGTCATGTTACTAAAGTAAAATTCAAATTCTGAATAAAAAGAAAAAACGATACATTCCACCTAAATTTTGTTCCTCTTTAATACACATTTTATGATTGGTTAATTTTTCAAAAAATTAAAAAAAAATAAAGATGATCAATTGATATATATAAAAAAGTGCTAAACTTTTTAAGAAATTAATCAATTACATAATTAAAGTGTATTGCTAACTTTTTTAAATACAATATATGCGAAAAAATAATAAGGATATTTGCATTTACGGGCTAATATATTTGCAGTTTTTTATGTGATTTTATTATTCAGTAAAGGTTAACAACGTACTCTCTTAAATAAATTTTCTAATATACCTTATGTTATTAATTAGTTTATTTTTTGAAAAGTTAAAGTGATATTTAAAATTGATGAAGTTACTGGATGAGTGTTTTGCCATTTTAAAAATGGATGATGTTTACATTGAAGAATGTATTGAAAGGGGTGTGAGAGTAGCGTTACTCGCTTGTTGCATTTATGTTTATAGTGACCGAAGTGAACTTGTAACTGGCAGCAAATGGTGGGGGAAGAATGTGAGAGATGGAGAAAGAGAGGGATAAACATAACGTACCAAAATAGAGAGAACAGAAAGGGTTACAAAGCGGGAGCAATGAAAGATGGTCTGAAACGAAGCTACGTGAAGGAATGCGAGTATGTTGCCATTTTCGATGCGGATTTCAGGCCAGAGGCAGACTTCCTAAGGAGAACAATTCCTTTCTTGGTGGATAATCCTCAGCTTGCTCTCGTTCAAGCTCGTTGGACATTTGGTAAGCCCACTTTGCCCCATCACTAATCAAAATATTAACTCCATTAACACACACCCTAAATGTGGAAGTTCTTTTGCCTTCCATTAAAAAATGTTGCTAACAAGTAACAACTTTTAAACTTCACCAAGTTGATTTATTAGAAAGACTTATGAGATGAATGAATGAATGAAAAAAATGCTTAACTACTGTTAAAGTAATATATTATCGTATTATAGAAATTTAATTCAATTTTATAATAATATTTTATATATTTCAGTTCATACGTTTGTTATATTTTAAATAAAATATATGTAATGCTTTGGTGGCACAATTAAATTATTTGAATGCAAGTGTCAAACTTCTGGGCTGTACTGCAAAATGCAAACGTGGTGGTAAAGGGGAAAATTTATCATTTCTGTACGTCCATTCCAAAGTACCAAATCCCGCAAACTCACTTAGCATGTGCTTTCGAAGAATCTTTACTTCTTTT